AAACATGTGTTTATTTAGAATAATTTTAGTGGAATAAATGCATCTTTTCCTGTAGACATAAGGGAGGGTACTCATACATCTGAAGATGTAATTCAATGCTGAGGATAAACACACAGGAAGTTCTGAGAATTCTGTAGGATATCAGTATATTTATGTGTTCAAAAGACTAATAGAAAGTCTCAGGTTCATTGAAATTAAAATAGAATGAGTTAAAAATAATAATAATAATAATAATAATAATAATAATAATAATAATAATAATAATAATAATAATAATAATAAAGATTCCCTTAGATGATTTCCACTGCAGAATGAAGTTCTGTGCAGATCCGGTAAGCCTGGATTTCTTTCAGAGCTGATGGCTTGCTTCACTTCAGCTATACTTCACAGGTGACTGAAAAATCTCTGTGGATGTTTTTCCCTTTGATTTTTTTTTATAGTGCTGGTGCACTTTCATTTAAATCTGGAAGCATATTGGAAATTTATTATCAATCTCAGTGAAATCTTTAATTAAAAAGTCAGATGGCTGCCTGCCTGGTTGCAACACCAGAGGAGCCAACACTAATTTATGTACACTGTAAAACAGGCATAATTATGCTGCCAGTAGACTTACAGATGGTTAGCATTGAGAGCACAAAAGCAGGGGTCAAAGCATAGCCACAGCTCACATCTTTCTAACCAAATGTTCACCAGTCTCGTCTTCTATACACATATTTTCTGTGAAGTTTTTGGGGAGAATGATGTTTATAACCATGGAGCTTTTAAGTGTTTCTGCTTTGTAACTTCAGAGAATTTTTTTTTTTTTTCCCTAGATGCTAAGGCAGTACTGCACCAAACGTTGTATTCCCAGTAACAGTAGTAAAAGTCCAGTGTAACTTGCTTATTACAGTATTCCTGTGCTTCATGCTAGAAAAGGTGTTGTCAAATAGTAAAAAAGTCTCTTACAGGTTGAGATACCTCCATGCATGCAAAAAACTGCTACTATGTGCAGATCTGAGCTCATCCAAAGGCAAGTTATTGTACCAACATCTAGACAAAGTACGGCTCGTCCTGTACTATATCCCCTCTTTGAATGAGCAGATTTTTGATTCTTGATCCCTGGCCAATTCCCACCTAGTCAGTACTATTTTTATACAGGATTAGCAGGGGTAAAGTCTTTGTAACTGACCGTGTGGCTCACATTGAAGGCTTCTGATGAGACATTTTTCTGTGTGGAATTATGTGATTGCTGCTGTCTACAAGAAAGGACTGGTAAGGCAAAAAAGCAGAAGAGATGAAGTCCAATCTGTCTACTTGACTTCATGTTAAAAGAAACAAGGAACAGAAGTAGCACGTCCAATGGTTTCATCAGCATCCAATGGTTGCATCATCATCTAATTTTAATAAATTTTAAAACCAGCTCAGCTAATTCATGGCGATTCTGAAACCAATACAGTAAGAGTTTTGAGGCCGTATGTACTACATGGTTCTAATAATTCTCTGACTGTAAGATGTTTGGTGCAAGAATGGGTTGCACAAAACCCATCCCAGAGAGATACCAGTTAGGTAGTTCCCAAAGTCCTAGCTATTGGATAGTTTCAGCACATTACTGTCAACTAATAGCAGCGCTACAGCTATTAATAGTCATTTCTGCTTTTTAAAATGCAAAACAAACTGTCGCTCTCACAGCAGGCTCTGTTTTCTAAAATGGTGTCTTACCTTTCATCTACAAGCATTTTAAGATGCTTTCTTGTCTTTCAGTTTTCCCAGGTTTTTAATGATATTTTATTGATATTATGAATGTATCAGAAGTGGAAGGAGACAGCAGTATACCAAGTCAGCAACATGTTGTGAATGAGAACAATAAGTTTCAACCTGCTGCTAATGATTTTATACCAGAAGAAATACATCTATTACCAAATCATTTATGGCTAAATGACGACTAACAGGACCTAAGTGCTTTAGGGTAAGGGAAAGAATTGTACCACTCCAGACATTTACTGCTATTCATCTACCTTGTCTTTTGGGCCCAGAGATTTGGCATTCAGTCCCTACTCTCTGTCTAGCCCACTAACACAAGCAGCTTTTGGAAATGAGACTCTTCTAAATCCAAGTCAATGGATGGTCAGCACTCATGCCAAAGCTCCATGCCTTACAAAGGGAGTACAGATAATTAGATTGGTGGCTAGATATCAGCCGCTATGATTAGTTTTCAACCACAAAAGCAGAATTACATCTCTGTGTGAGAAGCTGCTTTTCAACAAGTTCAAAGCAGTACATGGATGTTACGTCTGCATTAGCCCTGCAGGTAAAATACTTCTGATCCTTATTGCACAGGTGTTTTTATTTCCATTTCCATTTTCTATGTTTCCTTTTAGCCTCTCCTGCCCTCCTCATCCTGGGGCCTGGGCCCTCTGCCGCTTCTCCCTCACCCTGGGCCTCCTCCTCAGCCTGTGCCCGCTCTGCCCTTTCGGAAATCTGTTTTCCCTGAGGTGCCACCAGCTTGGGGCTGGGCTCAGCTGGGCCCTGCCATGGGGCCATTGGAGCCACCACAGAGGCCCTGCAGCCTCTGGCCAGCACCTGGGCATGGGCACCCTGTACAATCTCAAGTGTAGCTGGTTTTATGTGCAAACCAGGAAGTGATCCATACTCATCTGTATGGACATATCAATTCTGTGACACCAAGAAGTAAAACATAATTCTTTTTCATAGTTCAGTCAGTAGGCATGATTTAGGAATTCATAGACAATGAGGATATATTGCAAAACAAGTTGATGTTTTTATATATCCCAGCTACCAGGGTAGAGCTGATTAAGTAGGTTTCAGGGCTGAGAGTCTTGGATCATGGAATAATTTACTCAGGAACTAGAAAAATCAAGTCAGTATACAAGACGGGAAAAGAACTATTCAAGATGATACTATAATAGATAAATATGTGCAAATTCAACCTTAGCTAATGCCTTTGTGATTACATACATTTTCTTTTCATATCTCTGCATATGTAGCATTAGTATGAAACTCCATTTTTTTATTTTATTTTATATCCATCTTAGATTGCAACTGAAGAAAAAGCATCAATTCAACCCATCAGCCTAAACTGATGGATTTATTCTGCTTCTTTCCAGAACCCTTTAAAAAAAGACTATTTATCCTTATCTTACATTAACATCTATGGAGAACCATAAAGCATTTTAGAGAGGCTAAAAAAGGTGGAATTCAATAGCAATGTTTTCTTTTTAATCACTGATTTATTTTATTTTATTTTATTTTATTTTATTTTATTTTATTTTTACATTCTGTTTTTCACAATTAGGGATGTAGCACTTTCAAAGAATGTATCAGGAAGTTTATGATGTACTGACCAATATCATAGATAGGCATTATCTGAACCTATATTGCTACTTAAATAACACATTTTAAGTGCAGTTTTAATGTTTCAGTTATAAGTGCAGCTTTTTAGTTTTCTATGTTAAAAATGAAAACAAGATCCAACCACAAAATACCCTCTGATACTTTCAGAGTTGCTTTTGTTCCTTATATCCAATTTGTCTGGAAGAAAAAGCTGTTTTGAAACAGAAGCATTTTCTTTTTGCAGGTCTAAATGAAGCCTTCCTTTACAGAGAAAGTTTTAGATTCATTAGCAAGGTAATCTTCTAGAACACTAGGTTTTTATTTTCTTATTTGTTTATTTATTTGTCTGGAGTTTCCCTTCTTTGTTTGTTTGTTCATTTGTTTTAATAAAAATGTCTTTAAAATCAGTGTACAAAAAAAAAAAAAAAAAAGTATTAATTTTCAGTATAGAATCAGATGCTAATTCCCCAACTAAAAGACAAAAGAGGCGTTCAGGCACATACATTCTTAAATCATTTGGTAGACAATGGAGCTAATGAGGCTTGGTTTCCTGTGATTTTGTCAAATGTCCCCTGTGTATTCCTCACTTCAGCAATCCCCCAACCTAAAAACATTTTCTGTGATCTTCCCTCTACAAAATTTCATTGCCTTCTCAATACTATTTCTTTCCATAGTTACTCAAGGTCTAAGCATATTTCCTAAATACTTCCCACACTTCCCTTGGCTTTCCCCCAGGTTCCCAGAGCCCCACCATCATGACTCCTACTTTAACTACTGCCTAAGCAAGAATGATAACATGCACACAGAGCTACTGACATATTGATTAACTGAGTAGCTACTGTCCAAATAAGTAGTGGCTGAGTTGTCTTCCCAGCAGTGGAGGTGTCCAGAGAATCCCTTTTTACTAGTCAGTGATGATTTTTACTAAATTTAGAGGATCTGAATATTTCTGGGACCTTTTTCTGCTGTCAAATAGGGTAATAATAACCAAAATGACTTTTGAAAGCAGAACTGAGATAACAATAACATGAGCCTTGTTTTCCTAGGAAACCAGGGGGAGGAAAGCAAATTTGGTCTTACCAAATTGCAATAATTTTCAATAATGAAATGGTAACCTAGCATACATTTGTTCTTTGATGCTGCCTGTTGCACTTCTAGGGCAATTGAAAAGCTGAGGGAAAATAAGATAATGGAGTCTCTGGTTGCTAAAAATGGGCTAAAACATAGGGAAGGAATAGCTCGTCCTATTCCTCCTGTCCACCCTTCTTTGATCCCAAGGCTAATCACAGCTAAAAATTAACCTTGGTATTTGTAAGGGACTCTGAAAAACTTGGAACTGTCTAGAGCAGCTGCATTTAGAGGACCAAGAATGGCCTTAGTGATTTCTCTCAGCTGCCCCACAGTGCCACATGTATGAGATAACTTGTTCAGTGATATCCTCTCACAACATTTTCAAGGAGTGGTATTGCTATACCAGCTCCAGAATCATGGAGCTCTGCCTTATGCTTAAAAATTCAGTCACTTATGGTAGATTACAGCAGTGTCTCTCATCTCCAGAATGCATTGCTTTCTTTTACTGTTGTCCTTCATGAAAAAGAAAACATTGGAATAATACATAGAGATTTCTGTTATCTTTAGGTCAGTTAGAATAATCACAAATCTTGTACAAATGCTTTTTCTCCTTCCTTCTCTTTTTTTTTTTTTTCAGTAATATGACATCTTTTAAGCTAAACAATACATCATTTGAAGAAATGACAGTATTTCACTTATATGGCTCCCATTCTGATTTGGGATTTACTGCATAAAAAAATCCAGAAAAAGAAAGAATTTATAGAAGCAATATTCTAACAGAAAACACAGCAGAAAACAGAGGCATAACAAAGTTTATGATAAGAACTGTAAATAATATTTCCAACTTCAGCTATATTATATTTACTTTACACATAGGTTCATGAAAACCACTCAGATATACAAGCCACATATAGAGGGACTACTTAAGAACATTTCAAATTAAGGGAGGAACATCTTCATTATCTTCAAAATCAATATAATTCTTCTTAGTCTCTGTAATCTTCTCTGCTTGTAGCCTAATAGGTCCCTGTCCAATTCGTTCCTTTTCTTGGATTATTTTTGTCACATCAGGGAATGAATATTTACTAGGATCCACTTCTAATTTCTCAACTTGTCCACTCCTGAAACAAGAAGAAAGCAAATGAAAAAAAAAATAATAATCATTTCAGTGTCAAATACCACAATTCAGGGACACTGTTTATAAATCTGTTGACTTCTAAGTGAGACTCGGTACTAAATTTATTTATTTATTTCACTTTTTTAAAAATTCATTTACAATTTACAATTAAATGAAGATTGAGTTCTTGTTATTTGTAATAACATATTTGCTTATATCAGCTTATATCACCTAACTCATGTTTTGCCAATATGAATCCTAACCATGTTTGTATTATGAAAAGAAAAAAAAAAAAAAGATATACAAGAAATGTCTGGGGTATAACAGAATTTCCAGATTCATTCACTATTAAGGTAATTCTTTTAGATCACGCTTAGAAATGTGTACAATCCATGCATTAAGGCAACCAAGCAATGACATGATGATCAAAGATTTGAAATACTCCTATAATTTCTGTCTTGCAGCATTGGAAGGCATTTTGTTGATTTTTGTTTGTTTGTTTGTTTTTCTACTAAAGAAACTAAATATTTAACTGGAAAAAATCTAGCTTGTTTTCAAGTAATTTGTAACAGTTTACAGCAAAAAAAAAAAGGCAAAACGGAAATGTAATTGTTCAATGATGTTCTAATTTCTGCATATTCCAACATGATTTTTACATCTTTGAACAAATTTTCCTTTTAAACTGAATGGTACTTTGGGTCTAAGTTCCAAGCTCAGCATTACAGATGACAGTACATCAGTCTTCAAAGATGTGAGAAAACTACCTGCTTACCCAGGAGATCAGAAAGACTTATTAGGACTAGAACAAAGGAAAAAGTAATAAAGCCACTGGATGAAAGAATGCATTGTTTTGATGACAATGTAGGTAATGAAAATATGTAAATAAAGTACATTAGATGATTTTAAACTGAAAATACACCATTTTTACTTGTTAAAAATACAGCTCATTTTGCCAATGAGCTGCCAAAGCCTGTTTCGCCATCAAGGCTCCTGAGGGGCCTGAGCAGACATTCCCAGCTCACTTCTTTGTGTAAGATCTCTGTACGTGTAAAGGAGAAGTGCAGAGGGATTCATGGCAGGTTTCTTCCTCTCCTCTGCCGAGGAAAGCAATAACAGAAGAGGTGTTAGTCAGCTTACCCACTTCTTTCAGCCTTATGCCTCTAGGTTTTTCTTGGGAGTTTCTTAGGAATTATTTGCTCATTTACCTGAGCTCATTTTCTGCTGCCTTAAGAATCCAAAAAAAACTTTCCCTGCAAGTGGCACAATCAAAAACTACTCAGAAGAGAATTTTATGGATAATGAGGGATCATACAAGAAAACTTTTATTTCTTCACCTTTAATGTTCTTCACTTTATAAGGCTAGATTTTTAATGATATTACACATTTTTTTGAAACAAAAGTGGTGTGCTGTGTGGCAACACTTCAGAAAATGTTCAACCCCAAGAGGTAAGAAACATTTTTATCTCTTTTGTGATTTGTGAAATGTGCTGTGACCTTGAGTGATTCTATTTGTAGCCACTGGGGAGATTCCAAAAAGAGCACCACCTGTCCAGAATCCTAATCTAATTGCTAATGACTAATCACTGATTTGAAGTACCTCAGAAAAAGCTAAAAATCATAAGTATGAAAATTAATTAACCTCAGCATGTGCTTTGTTCACATAGTAGAAAAGATTTTCCTTGATTTGATGTATTTTAATTAGTAGTGGTAATTTACATTTGTTCAACAGCTCTAAAATTGTACAAATTACTAGTCATGAAAATATAGTAAATTCTACGGAGTTTGAATAATTTATTGCTTAGTAGCAGAATAAACTTCAATACACTAACTAATTAACAGTGAGTGTCATAATTAACTGTCCACATCAGCAAGCTATGAAGGGATTATAAACATCAGTCATTCTCAAAAATTAATCAGCACATGCTATCTACAAGTATCTATTAGCAATGAACAATAGGGAAAATAGAATCAAGTACAGATGATTTTTTTCTTTCCAAAAAGGAAGTAGATTTTTATGTACTTAAATATGCATGGTGCAATATTCTATATTTGTTCAGTAAACCTCATGATACTATCTCAACTACTATGATACATGTATTTGGCCGGTGACAAGACAGTTGTGATAGTCAGTGTAGCTATCATGCATTAATCTCATGGGAATATGCTCTTCTGATCATGTAATCTGTGCAAAAAGAGCTGAGTATTGATGATGTCAAGACTAACTACCTAAAAATTTTTGGAAGAAAAATTAGAGTTTTGGAAGAAAATTAGAGAAGAAATAATAAGAAAAAAATTAGAGTTTTAGGTCACCTAAAGATTTTTTTCCCTGTAAATCTACTTAGAGGAATAAAAATAATCTTGTTGCTAATGCAGTTCCACGAGCAATAGTAAAACAATAGTAATGAAGACAATTGCAGGACCAACTACAGCACATCTGGAAACCCCAATAATTGCAAATGATTTCAAATTCAGGTAAAATAAATAAATAAATAAGTTCACTGTTTTGGGCACTGCTACCTGCTGCTGAGCAGTCTCTACTCAGGGGAAAATTATGGTGTAAAGATTAGATGACTATACAAAATAGATAATATTGAATTAAATGGTTTTTTTGTTTGTTTGTTTTGTTTTGTTTTGTTTTGATTTTTTGTTTGTTTGTTTTTTTTAAAAAAACTATTATTTTTTTCTGACATTCCTTTCCCTTAGAAAGGCTACTTCTATCTCTACATAGTTCAACAATGTTTTAAAAAAAAGAAAATAAAGAGTTCATTATAAAAAAAAATGATAGTCAGTCCTTCAATTTTACATAACTATAGCAGCCTGCTGAACAATCTGGTGTGTGACAGAACACTTATCTGATAATTTGATATTTTTTTGTAATTTACACTTTTGTTCACACAGTTCTTAATCCCCATATTTGATATTTTAATGGTATGACAGTTACATTTCCTTGTTTCAACTTTTGAATTTCAATAAAAGTTTAGATTGCCAAACATTTCTCATACTTCTTATCCAGAAAATGCACTCTCTGACATTCTGACATGGTTGAAAGTTTCCTTTTTGGCATCAACATGTCCAAAGATATTTACAAGGTATGAACAACAGCTTTGAGGAGCCACTTTTTCCAGTCTTCTAGCTCCAGGTCTTCATGAGAACGCAATTCAATCCATACTTTAACCTTATCTGGGATAAAAAGTGGTTTTTTTTGTTTGTTTGTTTGTTTGTTTGTTTTTGTGTTTGTTGTTGTTGTTGTTTTGTTTTGTTTTATTTTGTTTGTTTGTTTTGTTTTGTTTTGTTTTTAATATTGCTTAGTCATACCTGATCTATATTCTGTTTAAAAAGTCAATTGAACTCCTGTAATTCTTCCTATTCCAGACAACATAACTTGAAGTGAGAGCAAGAATTCTCAATATCTACATAAAAGCTATCAAACTATGTTGCCTGAAAATATTATTTCTGCAAATCTATTTAACTCTAAATTTGTGATCTACTCCTAGGTCTCTGTAGATGGCACACATGACATCTTGGTAGAACTGATACCTGATTTGCTATGTTTGATCTTTTCATACATATATTCATCTCTTATGCAAGCCAGACCAGAGCTGCACTTACCTATCTCTTAGCTAAAATATTTGTTCTTGGTTTAGGAGCAGAAATGATAGTGAATCTGGGTTTTGAAAAAACGCATAAATCCTCTTGCAATTCCTTCAGGTTAGTTTGTCTATGGATCCATTCAACTTCAGGCCTCATCTTACCTCACATTCCCAGACTGGAAATTAATTTTGTTCTACTGTATTTCTCTTTACAACATGAATTTCTTTCCTTTCCAAGTTGTCACACCTCTATGTCTCTCTGTGAACTTTAGAAATTTATTGTGTGAGATCTTCAGCCATTAAGTCTGTGGAAAGGAGAGGGTGTTGCAAGGATTCTTTCAAGGATTCAGATTAGGACTCCTTACTTATGATAACGTTTGCTAGAAAAAGGGTGGAATTAAAATACAATGCAGTGATTTAAAATATCCAAGATCTCTTGGCCTATAGTTCAACAAAACTTACAAACATTTTATGCATCTGATGTATCTGCCAACAAGTCAAATTTGGCTGGCATTAGATAACCTGTTCAAAAGCATTTATGAGTGCACTAGCAAATAGTGGTGGATACTCCAGCAGCATATGCTTTTCTTTTGTTTTTCCTCTCAAGAATCCAGATGAGAAAAACAAATAATACTTAGTTAACCAGTGCAATAGTGCAATTGTACTCAGCTAAAAGGTAGTAGGATTTGCAATGTTTGAACTAGTTAGGTAGAAAAGGTAACCTTTACTTTACATTCCTTATTTCATTGTGAACAATGTAATTGATATTTTAATGTTTGAATTTGTTGTTTTGTTTTTAATTCTATGTTGTGAAGTATTATAGAATTTGATGCTCCGTTCCTTCGCCTCTTTAAATGGACCTATTCTCTGGCTGTATTTCTCTACTTCTGTACATAAAGAACTACAGTACAAATCAAAGAATAGGGAATCTTCCATGTATTCCTCCATCCTTTACTGGAAGATTTCAGGTATGTGTATATTAACATCTAGAGACATTTTGAGTTTTCTTTTCTTTTCTTTTCTTTTATTTTTTTTCTCTTTTACAATGACATAGGATGAACAGTCTCAAGCTGAGCGTATGTTACTTTTGTAACTGTTACTCTTAAAAATTATCGTATGACTTTATTTCTACCTATATATATACTTCATTTATGCAATTGCGAAAAACGCAACTTCTGTTTCTCATAGATGAATGAGGTCAGTCACAGTAAAGACTGACATACTCAGCTACTATATTAATAGATATTTTGGATGCATAATAAATAAATATGTCAAATTCCTGCTGTGGAAACTTATCTCTTTGAAGGTTTGAAGTATAGTTTTGTATACAGTCACAGAAGAAATTTCTCCTATGTGGCAGAAGTAATAATAGTATCATCATGCAATCTAGCTAACAAGTTAAGAGATTTAAAGCACTATACCACAGTGTAGAAGATTGTCTGACAGAATTTAGCTAAGACATCTGTAGCTGTCAAGTGTAATCACTGTAATGAATGTTCTTCTGTAATCTAAGAGAACTATTCAGCAAATTTTTAACATCTGGCTAGTCAGCAATTTTTCAACCAAAGAGGTCAAAATTTACTATTTGTAGTAAGAGCTGTAATTCAGAACACTTCTTTCCTACTTCTGTTTTTGCAATACATATTCCGGTAATATATTAACAGTAAAATTTGTATTTTTCCTTCAAAATATTCAGTAAGCATTTTCATAATTACTTAAAGCTGTACGAAATCAAACACAACTTCTTAAACTTTTGTTATGCCATGGGGTACCTTTAGTTCATCAATTGGCAGGGAAGGGGACAACTCCCCATTATGGCTATTTAATCACTTAGTGTGTAGCCAAAACTAAATACACACAGAGAGCTCTAAGTACGTATGTATTATTAACCCCATAGTTGCTAGCTCTTTTGCTGTTTGGCAGAATCAAGATGAGAGATAACATCAGGTATCTACAGAAGGAAGATCTAGTTTTATCCCGGAGAAAAGTTCAGACATTTCTTTTAACTGATTTCTTTTAATGTTTCTAAGGCTTTAGCTGTGCTTCTGCTGACAAGAACCATCACTTTTGCGCCATTTGGCTTGGACCTTTTAAAGAAAAATTATGGAAATACTCAGTAATTAAGAAGATGCACTGCTGCCTAAAGTAAGGGTGCAGTGGTTGTGGCTCATTAGGAATCTTAACAAAGTTTTGCAGTCACCCCATTGTCTTCTCATTAGGCAGGCCACTCAAGAAAAGACACAACCGATCCTTATTAAAATTACAAAATAAAAAGCAGAAATAATGACATCAGTAACTCTTGTGGTGCCATTTGAACAATGTCCTAAATATCGAGAGCAAGAAGAACAGTTGTGATCAATAATGCTAATTTTTACTAACTGCTTAGTGTTTCCATCAACATGTTATCACAATGAAAACACACAAGGAAACAAATATAACAATTAAAATACAAACAGGTAAGATGCTTAACAAACTTTGCTGTTACCATATCTCATAATGGTGTGAACATTGCTGCCTATAACAAGAGGAAAAGCAAAATAGTTTAATACATATTGTGGCATCACTTAGTAAGTCCAAGTGGCTATGAGCCCTACTGTCTGCCTACCATAATGGCTAGTAACACTTGGTAAGAGGAAAAACAAAAAATAGTGCAGCCCTGGTATTTACTTCTTACTGGCAGTCACTAACTGAAAGAGTTTAAGAGCTGGAGTTTACATCACATGTAACAGGATGGAGCTATGTTATAAAACCTTGAAGAACTGCTTTTTGAAACTACTTATTAGTGCAGTAGCTCAATACGTATACTGTATCACTGTGCAAATACATTCATGAGATGTTCAAAATCATTGCTTTCTAAATGGTTTTGAGACCTAGACTATGTAGCAAGGAGCTCTGCAGAGGCAATTCTCAGTAGGTGATTTGGTTTTAGTGTATACTAGATCAATATCTGAATGAGCTGATGAAACAGAACCGATCTGCGGAAATAAGTGCTTTTTTGGCTCTGCCATTGGAGCAGATCACTTTATAAACAGCACCAGACAGGCCATTAGTCTAAAGCTTTCATACATAGTTTTACTCTATACAAATCAATATTTTCATACTTTCCACAATAAGATACTCAATAAAAAACATATATTCTGACAAGTGAATAACTAATGTATCAAATAAATAAATAAATAAATAACACTAATGTGAAATAAAAAAGGAATTACCTTCTTGCATTTTTTTGCATTGTGTCAGAAGGTTTGATTGAAGTTGATAATTTTTTCTTAGCCAGGATTATTTCTTTAGCCTAAAATACAAATATACAGAAAAATAAGTCCCACAAAAGTTATTTATGCTAAAAAGCATCTAAATAATCTATCAAAAAAAAATTAAGAAGGTGTAAATAAATTTTCTCATGTGACTTTTATGTTAGATTTTAACACTCTTCACTCAGTGTGAAACATGCATAAAGCCCTTTTAACCAAATGATCTGAATGGAATTATATTCAATTATATATATGAGTTTATATATCTTTAAATATTTAAATATATACATATATATATGTATGTGCTGTATTTTTTTGGTACAATGCTAATAATGCACATTACTGATATTCTCTGTAGCTGTTCATGATGTGTCTCCTTATATTTCAGTCTTAGTGTCCATGTGCTAGTTCAGATATTTTTATTAAAGAATCTGCTGCCCTCTGAACTTCTCATTCTTTTTAAAAGGGACAAATGTCCACAAACTCCCTCAGCAACTTTGCTGAAAACAGAATCTCAAGATTGAAGACAAGGTAAATTCCCTTTCTCAAGGAAAATACCATTTTTTGGAGGACATGTATGTTATTTCTTATGGCAAAAGGAATTCCTCATTCCCTACTTAGTGACATCAAGGGAGAGGGACCCCTTAAAGTTTGAAAGGAAGGAGATAAACAGGAGCTATGACAAAGAGTATCAAGTATTTTCTATTGACATTGGTTTGAAAACATGCTGTTCCAGACCTGCTCTAAAATGTTCAAGAAATAAGACAGATCTCGTGGCTTCTATCATTCATTTCTGAAATGCATTGTCAAAGGGCTGATCCTTTCTGACTCTATATATCCTCTAGTGAAGAAAATTCTTTTTCTTTGAACTTTCCCTCTTCTCAGTAGGCTGTACGGTGTTCTGTTCTTCAGTAATTCATTCTGTTGATCCATCTGAAGATAAGGTTCCTTGCTTTGCCCTCAGGGCACATCATCAAGGATGGTGAGGAAAATTGCTGATTCTGCAATCAACAGAAATGTCTCCTTGATGGGTTGTGATTCTGTCAAGGGGCTTTCAAATTAGGGAAGGGTTAGGAATTGCGTACCGGAGCATCTATTATTGTCAAATATCATTTGATTCAAAAGATCCTTTACTCAAAAGACATCCTCCTACCTCTGTTCAAGAAAAATCTTAAGTGATATTCTCTTTTTTCTTTTTTTTGAAACAATGTGTAACAATGACACATGAACTTCACCAGGACAGTGATCGCATATTGATCTCTCAGAGATGCCAATCAAGTTAGGACAAATGATCTGGAAAATGGAACAGCCACTGCTTCAGCTGTGGACAAATATAAGACTTTGGGCTCAGTAGCAAGTTCATTGAATGAAATTTAAACTCTATAATATACAGGAAGAGGGACTAATTGAATATAACAAAGCTTTCTGCAAGTAATTCTATGAACCTATTGCTAGTAATTAGTGTAATCAGAAATCAGAAAAGAAAGGAACAGAGAAGCACAGACAGCAGAGAAGTCTAGAAATTGATGTGTTAAATAGAATCTGGAATATATTTGAGAAAACAGATGGAATTTGTGAAAACAATATTTTTAAGCTGAGTCATCTTTTCAGCCTACAATTTATTCCTGCCATGTCTTTCTTCTTCTGCAACATGAATTCCACTGAGTAACAGAGTTTCCCTGAAACACATTTATTTTGAAGGAAAAAAAGATTTCTGAGGTTTCACAGCTGTATGTCTCCATATGCCTTTGACAGTAATGAAATATTACTGCATTTGCCACACCTAGAAAAGTGAGAATTTTATAATGAAATTCCATCAAATAACCCTTACACTGACATGCATAATGTATACCCCTCTATTTTTAAATTAATTAAGGAATCTAACTCTCATTGATCTTTAAGTTTCTAAATGATTTCGAAGACTCAGGCTATAAAAAGCTGTCAGAATTAATTTTTTACTGCTTATATAATAAAGGATTAATCAAAAAGTCAAAATTTTCTTCTCTGATTCACTAAAATAAGGAAAGTCAACTATTAAAACATGACACAGAATGTCTCAGAACCCTAAATAAAAACTGTTTGGTAATAACACTGGTTTTGATGCTGTTTCTCAGACAGTAATTAACATGCTGCTGGTGTAATCTATGGATGGCATTTTGCAAGATCACTGATTTAATATGCCAATTTTGGTCAAAGCCAATAAAGAAACATTCAGTTTTTTACTTTCCTGCATCATCTGCAAAGATGACACTGCCAGAGCATAGAGGCTGAAAGGTTGAAAAGCTTCATGTCACAAATATTTTTCCCAGAAAATGAAGCATTACAATGTACTTGCTATCAACCCCTTACTCATACAGAATCTCTGTACAGACGATTAAGGTTATTACAGTATAAACACCACACTTGAAAAGTGTCACAATTCACTGAATGTTGTGTCCTTCAAATTTGTTTTGATGACCTTCCAAATCTGTTGGTAGACAGTGCCTTAGAAAGACACCCTTTTTACAATGATTTGCTGTGCAATAAACAGTACATTAAAAAAAAAAAATCTGAAAAGATGGTGAAAATGATTTACTTTCTTTCCTTTATGTGGAATTTACTATCTCTAACATCTGTGGTATGGCAAGGCTATCAGAGATGCAACTGAAGAGGTTTTACTTTTCATTTTAAAGGCTAGGGAACTATGAACAGGCTGGAAGATATATGCTGAAAAGTTTAGCAACCTGATCAGAAACTCCCTAAAGCAAATGAAAAACACTGAATTCAGTTTGTTTTCTGTTCCCTTCCTGAGAAGACAGAGGTATTTTCAGGACACTATTGCAAGAACCCTACTGCAGAAGTTTACTTTTTTGGTTAATAGTATTCTTAGAATGTCAGTTACTTAAAGAATGTGCTAAGTCATTTATCTAGTTGCAAATAATTTTATTTTGAGAATAATTATTTATCAGGAACACAAAGGTTAAACAGCACAATATAGTCATTAGGTTTGTCTCATCACTGATATAAACTGAAAAGAAGTTGCATGAATTCTGTTATTCCTATCATCTTATAAAAAGGAATTTATATTAAGTTGATGATATAAAATTAATAATCTCAAATATTGTTGATAACTTCAGCCATAATGTTCTCAAGGAAAAATAACTATTGGCATTCCACTTACTGCTAACCTTTATTCATTATACTTAGCTTCCTAGAATACATCCTGTTAATATCAATACAATATGTATGGATAGAGGACATCTGAAAATGATATGTATCCCTCAAAATATAGCTTGTGCACTCCAATTTAGTTCTGAAGGAAGGGAAGAGATTGCATGACTGTAACACAGAACAATTCTTTTGTACCTGCCAAGTGGAATTGCTGCAAAGTAGCACAGATCCATCTTTGCTCAACAAATCCACAAAACTTGACATATCTCAGAATCATAAAACAGTTGAAGTTGGAATGGACCTCTGCAGGTTATTTAGTCCAAACCCCTGCTCAGGCACTGCCTCCTGGAGCCAGTTGCCCAGGACCACATCCAGGTGGCTTTTGAAGATCGTCAAGGGTGAAGAATCCATGACCTCTTTGAGCAACCTGTGCCAGTGTTTGATCACTCTCACCATTAAAATATGTTTCCTTATGTTAGACAGAGCATTCTGGTGTTTCTCTTTGTACTTATTGCCTCTTGCCCTGTCATTACGCACCTATGGAAAGAGCTTGGCTCCATCATTACTCCCCCTTCACCACCACAACCCCACCCCAGTCAATTAAGACCCTTTTGAGCTTTCTCTTCTCTAGGTTGAACAACATGACCTTGGTTATTCTGTAGAGACCTCCTCAGGTCTCACAAGTATCTCTGAACCATGACATTCTGAGATGAGGCAGGCTCAAGACCCTCAGTCTAGGTAAAATATATAGGTGTAGGTAAAATATCAAGATAGGTGAAACATGGGTAAAAAATGAATTTAATCATGGAATAAAGGCAATTCTTAATCACAATAGAAAGAGGAAATATTCATGTTGCTCATGTAGGTACTGCTTTCTTGGAAGCCAGCAGATTTGAATGTACACAGAGGCTCCTTGAAATATTTATGTTTTCTAGGGCGCTGCTCATCCACAAAAATGCTATTAAAGTCTAATAGAAACTCTGTTCAAAAGCATTTGAAAATAACATTATCCAAAATGGCAAATGTCAAGGCCTCAGTTTCAAATAAATAAGTGTAGGAAAGTGTAAATTCTCGTATCAGTAAATTTTGAATATTAATTAAATATGGATCTTAATCAAATGAGTACAGTTTTCAGCATTCCTCAAACTCGTGGTGAAACTGTATGCTTGATGCTAAAATGACAGCTTGTGATTTAATCAGAGGTTGTCCCTGCAGGGACCAACTGAGTCCTGCCACTAAACCACCACATCCCTTAGTGCCACAAAGGACAGCATGACTCCATGCAGGCAATCAGAGCACAAGTGAGACAGAACACAGAGTTAGGAATATTAGGGGAATATGACTTCTGCCCAGGCTTCTTTAAGTACTGAGGCCTGCTGTGTAGCATTTCTCAGTTGAAGCACCATGTTGCCACAACTCTCTTACTCTGTGACTACACATACTTGGTAGAGTTGATCAGTGTATAGGGAAAGCATGAAGGGAAAGTGATTTAAGCAACTCTTGTTCTGATCACCTGAGATGTGAGAGTAGTAGTACATAATGCCTATCCTTGAACCATAATATAATTTTCATACAGGTGTGTGCCACACCAATTTTGAAAAACTGATTTGTTTCTGTTATAGGTAGAAAAACTGTTTATTTTCAGTTCTTTTAAAAATACATCTTATATTGTTGCACAATATGGCAGGTTTTGCAGAGGATATTTTCATGTATAAAAAGCTGTTTCTATTGAAAATATAGGAAATAGAAACAGTTCCATTAATATTGTTTTCCATAGTGTTCCTTTAAAGGAATCCTAAATCCAATGGTTTGGCTCTATGATTAAATTGTCATTCTGGAATGTTCCTTCTTTCTTTGAGAAATACATCCTAATGGGAAAGGCTAGCCTGAATAACTAGCTAGTCAAGTGTTACCTGTAACTCAGAAATATTCTCACAGTACTTACAATATTTTAAATACCTTTCTATAATGCCTCCTCAGATTATGTAACATACCTTTGGCATGCTGACAACTAAATGACCGGTTGTTTGTGATCTTTTAGCAGAGCTGCTATCTGGTTTCACTTCCTCAGGGAGCACAAGCTGGAATGGCTATGACAAAATAAGGAGTTGAAGTATATCATGATAAAATATCTATCTATTTATTTATTTATTTATTTGACCTAGACAGAACACATGCAGAAATATAACTATCACTTCCTTTGATCTATAGAACAGTATGAGTCTAAATCCTATCACTATAAATACAGTATTACTAATCCTAATAAATGATTAACATGCTAAACAGCTTTTACTTAGAAGTATGGTTATATGTATATTCCTGAATTGCTGTCATTTCTGAAGTGACATTTCTAAAGAAGGTTATAAAATGATGCTTGACTTATATTAGCAATTAAATGAGAAAGATTATCTAGTCTATTTTAAACATAATTTTCAAGTTTTATTTATGCAGTTGTTACAGTCATAAATGCAGATTTTGGTTTACCATTTAAGTACTAAGAATTTTTCAAAAATTTGATGATAAAATTATAACCACTGAGAAAGAAGTAAACTTGAATTTTAAACACCCTTTCAAAAGACTATACATCCACTTGTTTCTGTCTACTATGAATTCCAGATTGTGAAATTACTAAGTTCTAGCCTAGGGTAACTAACAAGTTCCTTTCCTCAGTGATTTATTGTACATTGTTTTGAGGGAATAAGAAGAAATAAGGAGTGAAACAGAGAATGGAATTTCATTTCAGGCTTTACACCTCTTCTGGTTAGGACTTCAACAGCATATATGTGGTTCAGAATAATGCAAGTATGAAATAATGGTTTTTCTGCATGGGTGCATGGAATTTCATAATCTGTGAAAGCTCCAGTGTTCACTGAATAACCATCGTAAACTTTTAGTCTTGATTTGAAATTAATGTAGTAGGAAAACACTAACCTTTCCCTTCACCAGTACTCGTATGTAAGTCGTCTGAACATCAACATCAAGCAGAGATGTGTCCAGATGTCTTTGAAACAAAATATGAACAAATGAATCAATCTATTATACAGTCCAGTATATAAACATTTAAGACTACTCAATTATTTTATTACGACTTCACAGTTTGTAAAATACAGCTTCAATTTCAGGTATTAGGTTAAATGAAATATTATTAGCATTCCAACTTTAACTAATTCCTATCAGAGCTGAAAAAGCTTGTGGATTTCTAACCCCTTTTCGAACCATAAGCAAGGGCACTGTTGTGCTTAGTAGTTACAAATTAAGTTATAATTTAACTTATAAGAGTTATAAAATCTTCTTGTCATTTTTTGGCATGTTTCATCCACATTTCTTCCAGGTAATGCTCTGTTGTAGTTTAGGAAATAGGACAGACCATAGACTCCTTCCATTAAGCACTATGGACAAGGTTGCCCTACTCTGTTTCAAGAAGAATTTAACTATACAAGGATATGAATTGTACTGGAGCACTTCTAGGGACAGAGAATAGACATAAAACCCCACTCCCTACAATCCTAACCAACTAATGAAGAATGGAAAATATTTTATGTAAATATAAGGGGACAGCACTGGAAGAAACCTGCCTGTGGACTGCAGAAATCATCAATTCAAAAAAGGACTACTGAGACACGCTGCTTGTTTAGGAGTAACAGAACAACCCAAAGTATCTTTATTTTATACATTTCCGTTTCTTTGGCAGAGGCTTCAAGATTTATTATATCAATCCCTACATTATTTTTCTTCCACTTGAAAACTCCCCATTTACAAGGAGGAAAACAATTGAAATTCTGCATATTAGAACTTCTGAATGGCAAAAATGAAGTGGAAAAATAAATAATATTTCTGACCTGTAAACAGAAAGATCCAAAATGAACTGGTTGTTTTCTTCATCGTCTTTCAAGGAGAAATGAAGCCTAATAATAAGGACAAGAAACATCTCCAGGATCAACATAATTGGGGTGAAAAAAAAACAAACATTATGGCATATTTCAAATTCAACTGCTAGCAATTTTAGATTTAACACAAATACCCTTTAGACAAAATCACATGATCATTTTAGAAACAGTTGCACTTTTCCTCATGAACAGGAAAAATTACTAACGTTTGAGCTAGAGTCATTCAACATTTGTTTTCTATTCTCTCCACCCAACACTCAAGAAACAGAATTAAAAATAGTGCTGAAGGTCAGTTAAAATTAAGATCAGTCTGTCAGTGCAGAGAGAGAGACATCTGCTGGCAAAGTGTCTGATCTGTTGATGTCTTCGCAGTTAAGAAAAACAGTACATGAAAAGCACAGACGGCCTGAAAAACAGTGATTCTAACTTCATCATTTGTAAAAAAAAAAAAAAAAGAAAAAAAAAATGCATGCTTGTTCACAGCAATTAAGTTCCCTGTAGCATAAATATCTACATGTGCATTTCCAAAGTAAAAAAGAAAAAAAAAAAAAAGATAAAGATTTGCTTAATATTCTTGATTCAATGCTGTAGTGAGGTGGGGGTTGGTCTATTCTCCCATGTGCCTGGTGACAGGAAGAGGAAGAATGGGCTTAAGTTGCGCCAGGGGAGGTTTAGGTTGGATATTAGGAAGAACTTCTTTACTGAAAGGGTTGTTAGGCATTGGAATGGACTGCCCAGGGAAGTGGTTGAGTCACCATCCCTGGAGGTCTTTAAAAGACATTTAGATGTAGAGCTTAGGGATATGGTTTAGTGGAGGGCTTGTTAGTGTTAGGTCTGAGGTTGGACTCAGTGATCTTGGAGGACTCTTCCAGCCTAGATGATTCTGTGATTCTGTAATATTTATTAAAAATGAGAGTGCATTAGCTGTGTGTTTGTGATCTGGTGGCTGAGTTCTAAAATTTTTGAACAAATCTTGAATAAGGAGATCTATTCTAGACTTACTAGCCCTACTCATACTCTCAAATATTCCCAAGTATTAAAGTAGAGAAAAGACAAAATAAAACCCACCTATAAATGAGATGATTTTATAAATTAGGTATAAGTTTAAAATGAGAGGGTTTGGCTTCATTTAATTTATCTGGTACAATAAAACACCTAGATGTCACCTTTCAGTGACATTAAAACACCTAGATATTTTATATAATAGAAAGAATAGAATAGAATATTTTATATAATAGAAAGAAGCTCAAATTTGTATACATTCTTTCAGCAATAAAAACATCTGTCAGATACATTTTATAACTCCTTGCTCTCTTGTTTTCTGATACCATCAACTTGGAAGAAAGCTTAGAGAACTTTAGGTTAATGGATATTTTTGAATGGTAAACTGCAAATGATACAAAACAGCTTTCTTTCCTATACACACTTCTTTATTTTACTACACCACAAAATTTGAGAATTCACTAAAACATTAACAGTAAAAAAGAGAATTGTAAAATTTTCTAGGTGAAAGCTTGAACAGAATCAAGGAGCAGAAATAGTCTTTTCTCAGCAGTATGTTGCTATTCCTCTCAATAACCAATGTTCGAAAAGAACCTTAGATAAATTTGGACATTGCATTAGATACTAGAGTTTTTCAATAAAACAGTAACTTTGGAGAGCACCACCTGTCTATTAGCAACTCTTTCAGTGAAGAGCAACTCTTTTCAGTGAAGAGCTATGATATTCTTGCTGAAGCCATAATGACAAAAACTGCTCAGTGATCTGACTTTACTTGAGCACATCCACACAGTAAATTCTAATCCAGAAAACTCAGGTGATATGAACAGGATTGCTACAAACAGTGAACTCAAGGTGACTATACTGCTTAAACAAAGATAGCTAGAGCTTTGTTCTGAATGTCTCTGCTTTTTAGAGGCATAATTACATTCTATTAATGTAAGATTTAAACTATTTAAGGCTTGTCTTCTTTGAACTAAAAAATCATTCTTTTGCTTTTCTGTCACTTTGTCAGTTCTGCCAGGTTTACATCTGTTATGAGAGGACAGAATGATTTTGACTAGAAATACTACTTGGACATATTTTCCCACATTTAAAGTAGATACTTGTACACATTTATCTTCAGCAGTCAAGCTTTCACTATTTGTTTTCCACTATTAGCAAGATGCTCTAAGAAAGAGTCTTACCATGGAAGGTAATAAGAGTAAAGTATCTTATGTCATTTACAGAAAAACAAATTCTTCTATCATCAAACACCAAGATATTAAGTTATACAACTTTCAACACTTAACTTACTGAAAAGTAATTAATTATTTTTCCAGCATCAGAATATAATTTCAGGAGTCAGTTTCACCATCAGGAATATAATACTACACATGAGAACTTGTCAGTTCTCTTATTATCATCCTGTATATCCAAATAGTGGCTCAAATCAACTATAAAGAAGTTAACCACAACATTGCTTCCTTACATACTTTGGCACATTGACATTTAGAACTTTTCCTTCTGCAGTCACCAGTGTTGGAAGAAGCTTCTCTCTCTTTTTTGGCTCCCTTAACAAGACAGAAAGAAAAATGTTTTATAATTTGTCATTCTCATATTTTCTGCTGTATAGGTAAAATAAAAAAGAAAGAAGATGGCAAGAAGTTAAGTATACCTTATATTGTCTTTTGCTTTCCGTTTTTCTTCAATATACCTGTGAGTTTCTAATCTAGATTCTGGAGTATAAGGTGTAGGCTCCTCCCAAAATCTTCTGTCTTCTTCATCATCTTCAACTGTCCTCCATGTTTCTTTTTCTGTTTCTCCTTCTGACTGATGGTTTTCTTTGTTCTGTAGGGAGCCTGGGCTACACAAGATCACAAGAAATGTTATTTTAATGAAATGAATGAAGAGTAACTGTATTGAAAATGTATTCTTGCAATAATTTATTTTTTTTACTTCAATACCAATAGTTGCGTAATTCCTACAGAGAATAATAATTTACAGATTTGAATAATTTAGTCTGTTCTGCAACTTTCATCAATCATTAAAACATTTTTCAACAGAATACTTTTCATTTATTTAACTAAGAAGTTATACTATGGTTTTGCTTAGCTGTCTGAAAACCCTGACAGATTTAATTTCAGGAGCAGAATTTTCAAATGCCCTTACAACCTTCAGGTGAAAGAAAACCTTCAGTCCCTCTTAAGTTTAAGTATTCCCAAAGTCAGAGAGCAGCAGGTTAGAAATTTTAAGATAGCAACTTTTTACTTACACATATCCTCAAGTGCCATTTTAGAACCCAAATAAATTTTCCCCTAGACCTAAACTTCTGTAATGTTCAGAAAGTCTCTAGCTATATAAAATGAAAACTAGATTTGTTATACAGCTGTGATCTGTGTGGAAAAAAGTTCCATAACCATGTTCTCCATGGAACTTGGACTCTATTGATCTAAAAAATTGTTAAATGACATGTACAGTATAAGATGACATAAGGGAAAAATCCTTCTGCTAACTAAATAATCTTAGTAGTATTAGGTAGAAGAAGTGTTGGAGTTAACATTCCTTAGCCATTTACATCTCAAAAGATCTGCAAATACTATGTCTTTCTTAATATATATTGCGTCTGAAGCAAAAGAAATGATATATGAACATCTGCTGTCTCTGAAACCACTGTACTGCCTTAAATAACAATTTCCAGCTGTCCTGAAAGAAGCTATCAATCACACCACTTTGGAACCTAGAAAATTTAGTTTGGAGTTCTTGGACAGAACTTCTGTTGTACTGACTACAGGTTAGTAGTTAATAACGTTTATAATTAAGTATGTTTTTCATTAGAGACCATAGCTGAAATGCTAGAATCCTGCTAGAATCAGCAATGAAGACAAACAGAAGACTTTAAGTGGAATTATATTAACAACATTGAACAAGGAAAAACAAAATTCTTAGTGAAGAAAGAGACGAGTGATACTTACTTACAAACTGCTGCTGCCTACTCTTACCTATCAAATCCAAGCTTAGCTTCCACTTGTTTCTCTTTCCTATCCTTTCTTTCATGCATCCTTCTTTGAGCCTCTTCTTTTTCTTTGGCTCTTTTGAGAAGGTAAGATTGTTCCTGTTCTTTAATTTTCTGTTTCACTTCTGGATAGTTTTGAAGAGCTTGAATCCTCTCTGAACGTTCTATTTCTTTACTATCCAAATACTTCCCAAAAGGAAAAAAGAAAAAAAAAAATTAAATATATGAGAAATGTAAAACATATTCAAATCAATACATCAATTAAAGCATAACATAAGTTGTACTGCATTAAAATAATTAACAGTAAGTTGCTATTCAGATCTGAAAATGTTTGTGTGTCTGAGAGCTGCCTTTTGCATTTTCCTGGGATTTTAGTTAGTCATATTGCTATGTAGTAGAAAGAGTCCCTTCAGCCATTTCTGATATTTGTCTGCCTTTTATTAAGCTCATAAAACTATTACAAAAATATTTCTTTAGATATGTTCATTTAACTCAAAAATGAGTTGAATCTACTCTTAAGAAGTTAAGCAAGTGTCTGTGCTTCTCCAAGAGAAATTGGAAGAGCATATTTCAGGATTCTGACTGCCTCTTTCAATGACAGAAAATCGTTAGATCAGTCACTGTACAAAACCTCCATCTCAGAGTATCTATCTACAATATAGAGCATTTTCACATCAATTTCTACTGTTTTCCTGCCTTGTGTTGTTGGTATGGTACATATTGTTGGTACACTACCAATGACCTGGTAACTTTCTAAAATCATAGTAATAATTTAAAAATACACTGTGCGTATATATATACACACACATATATAAAGCTAAAAGCCAGAACTGCACCATGTATTTATCTTTTCAGAACTTTGTTTAAGGATCTCCAATGAAAATGACAGAAAAGTTAACAAATGCATGTGGCTTACTATAATTATTTATTATCACGTTACTTAATACAGTCACCTATTCAGAACAGAATTTAATTTTCTGTGGACAGTAAGAAAAATATTCCTAATTTTCCTACCACAAGCACTTAATTGTTTTGAATTACTATGTTCAGTCAACAAAGCTGGTTATTGATTTGGACATTAATTTAACATTAAAAATCTTACTTTCAATTGATGAAGTGTTGCCACTACAAATTGTCTATAACCTTGAAATTCAGTACATGGGTTACCCACTAGAAACAGTTCCTTCAGATGTATATTATATTTTAGGGTTTCAATACTGGAAAGTTCACCAATGAAATTTGCTGTCAGGTCAAGTTTCTTCAGATCTTCACAGCCTGTTTGAAATAAATAAATAAATAAATAAATAAATAAAAGAAAAGAAAACAAACAAACAAACAAACATCATTCAATGTGGGTACTCCATGTGGCTAAAGAGTGTCTAATTGCTTCAGGAGAGCAGAATCCTGATGGATTTCATTTCTTTGTAACTTAAATCTTCATTAACATTGATTTTATTACTGGTTAAATTGTTAATATTGGTGAGAAAATTGTATGTTAACCAGAAGAATTCAATATAAACAGAAACACTAAATTTGCTAAGAAAATGCTCTGGGAAATTTGGATCCAGAATTCATTAGCCACTCTTTTTATCATAATATGTCCATGAGTCATAACCTTGATTCCAAGAGTAAAAAAGTTCAGATAAGAGCAAGCTCAACTTCTGTGCTCATCATTTTAATCACTTCTTTTCCTTTGCAGGTCTATTTGGCAAGTATTTTATTCATAATGGAACTGAAAGAGCATAAACAACGCAAAATGATTTATTAGGGGATTTAAATAACCTCAATTTTTGCACGGCTAATTCCCAAAGGTTCTGACTTCTAAGTAAATGACAAATCACAGTAATAAATAATGCAGCCTGATAGAGAAACTTAAAATTTACTGGCATGAAAACAGATGTAAGTTTCTTAGCAAATTGCCAAATAGGTAATGTACTACATATTTCTTCAACTTTTACAAATTTCTGTTTAGCCTATTTGTTTATTTTTCTGTTTGATTTAAACCATCCTCCTAAAACATCTTGCACACTGTTTAAACAAAACAAATCAGCTTTTTTTTATTGTTCTGTTGCCAAGGTGGACATTTTATATATTCAGCAACTTGCCTACGCGAGAAAAATAATGAAATAAGTCAAAAGTCAGATTTTATTCAGAAAATATGGAACGTGTTTATGCATGGCTTTAAGTCTTAGGATTTGATCTTTGCACATGCAATTATCATGTCAAGATAAATGGTTAAACATAGATAAGATAGACAAGACTTCATGTAATGACAGAAAAAAGAATCACCTGAAAAACTATAAAAATTCTCCAGACTGACAATGCAACTTGTGCACAGTGTAGAGCCTTCTTTGTGAGACTTTTGATTGCTGAAGATGACTGCTGAACCACTACAAGAGACACTCTTTACATTCCGCATAGCATCAGCATCAAAAAATATTGCATTGCTCTAGCTAACCTACCTAGCAGATCATCTTAACTTTACAGTGAGGAAATACCAATTCTCTATGGGTTTCCTGAAAATTTCGATCTCCTATTTTGCAAAATATTAAAGAATAGAGCTGTCATAGCTGACAACACTGGTAAGAGAATATGTAAAAATCAAGTTAAAATGCACTTAAGAAACTGCAGTGACAGAACTTCAGCAGTAGGAACCACTTGAAACACTGCACAGAAGTTGGCTCCTTCTTCTGACAATCAATAAAGTACAGAATCACAGAATCACAGAATTTCTAGGTTGGAAGAGACCTCAAGTCCAACCTCTGACCTAACGCTAACAGTTCCCACTAAACCATATCCCTAAGCTCTACATCTAAACGTCTTTTGAAGACTTCCAGGGATGGTGACTCCACCACCTCCCTGGGCAGCCTGTTCCAGTGCCTAACAACCCTTTCGGTAAAGAAGTTCTTCCTAATATCCAACCTAAACCTCCCCTGGCGCAACTTAAGTCCATTCCCCCTCATCCTGTCACCAGGCACGTGGGAGAACAGGCCAACCCCCACCTCACTACAGCCTCCTTTAAGGTATCTGTAAAGAGCGATAAGGTCGCCCCTGAGCCTCCCCTTCTCCAGGCTGAACAAGCCCAGCTCCCTCAGCTGCTCCTCGTAGGACTTTTTTCTCCAGGCCCCTCACCAGCTTCATCGCCCTTCTCTGGACCCGCTCAAGCATCTCGATGTCCTTCTTGTAGCGAGGGGCCCAAAACTGAACACAGTACTCCAGGTGCGGCCTCACCAGAGCCGAGTACAGGGGGACGATCACCTCCCTAGCCCTGCTGGCCACACTGCTTCTTATGCAAGCCAGGATGCTGTTGGCCTTCTTGGCCACCTGAGCACACTGCTGGCTCATATTCAGCCGACTGTCCACCATCACTCCCAGGTCCTTCTCTGCCTGGCAGCTCTCCAACCACTCATCTCCCAGCCTGTAGCTCTGCTTGGAGTTATTGCGCCCCAGGTGCAGGACCCGGCACTTGGCCTTGTTGAACTTCATACAGTTGACCTCAGCCCATCGGTCCAGCCTATCCAGATCCTTCTGCAGAGCCTTCCTACCCTCGAGCAGATCGACATTTATTGGTGGGCATAATCAATAGCTTCCACCCTTATACTTAATCTATATTCATTTACAACTCAAGTGTTGCAATAAGAAAAGGCAAAATCGTTCATTTAAAAACCTTACCTTCCAGATTTTCAATTTTTTCAATGTTGTTCAAAGCTAAGTTTAAATATTCCAGCTTCTTTAACTTACCCACGTTCTCTGTAACAAAACACAGATCCATTATTTCAGTTTCCCTCATGGGAAGGGCATTATTATTTTACTTGCTCACTTGACTATGAACAAACAATAAAGCAGAAAAATTGGAAGGACAAACCTGAATATGTAATAGACTATCAGACATTAATATTTTAATACTAATAAAAAGATTAAAACAGAAATTCTCTGCAAAGCATAAATTGAAATGAAAATAGTATAGTCAAATAGGAAAGGCTATAAACACATTTTATCAAAAGTTCCATAACATAAATATAAAATGCAAGAGGACTGGCCAAAAAGCATGGTGAAATATTCCTTTCATCATGAAAGTCATGAATGCTCAGACCATACTTTGTCAAGCTTTATAAAATTTGAGTTTTACACTCACTTATATAGAAAAGCTCGTTGGTGGGTTTTGGGTATATATTTTTAGTATACTTTTAGTATATATTCAATTTTTAAAGATATTCTATCTACAGGGTTAATACAAGAAACTTAAATAATCAATAAATCCATACTGTATTACATTTGGCAGAATTTATGCTGTTTTGAAATAAAGCCTAGAACTATTCTTTTATGTAACACAGACTTGCTTACACAATGTAAGCAATGTACACAATGTATGCGTTGTCTATAAAATGGTATGGGTGTATTCTGGCACAGATGTGGTCTAGGAAACTTCCTTTTCTTCTGGAATTTTTGTGGTAACTGACTTTTTCTGAAAATTGTTTTAAAAAACAACAACAACAAAAACAAACCAACCTTAAGATTTATTTAAATTTCTAATATTAGGAAGTAAAGGAGAAATTAAGAAATTAGATGTGAAAATGTCATTTTCAACCAGAATTTTCAAATATACATGATCAGTTGAGAAAGCAGGAGGGGGATGGCCCACAGTTATGGGTTAGTTATTACCTTTTGTGTTTTTTCTTTTTTACTAGTGTCATAGTGAATATATGAACACACAATTGTAACAAAAGTAATGGTGCAATAATAAGCAACTTCAAGCTAATCTGTTTTTGTGCTGTAAAAGTGAAAAACAACCTTGAGGCGTGCACTAGCATTCTGGGATACAAAATTTATCTAGCAGTTTCATTCCTCAGGGCTCATGTTTCTGCACTAGAAAGTTTGGTAGTGCTGTGTTTGTGCCAGTCACACTGTCCTTCACTGCAGCTCTTCCTCCCATAATACATTGTTCAAGCTTTGTGGTGTTATATGTCCGTGTACTGAGTGGAAGTGCCATAGTAGGTAACATTAGTTCGCATACTACAGAGGCACAGTAGAGGTAAGTAAATAACGAAAAAGTCACACGATTGTATAGATGGCTAGTGGCTTGGGAGCTGGAAGGTAAAGCCATTTGCAGAGGAACAAAACATCTGCAACGCTGAAGGGTCAAGATCCTAAATGTTTGCCTACTTCTTCAGAGAGGCCTAGCTCGCCCAGATAAATGGTGCTGGCAAACCATGAGGACACAGGGATCTCTGAGATGATCACGCTTTGTGTCAAAAGTATTCACAGCTCTGTTACTGTTGCTGTATGGGAGAATTTCTTTCCTGGTTTCTGAAATATTAGTTAGGCAAGAATCAATTTACACTAATTTTAGGCTTTCTTTTATATAATTTTGTACTAGTTTTGGGCTTTCTTTACAGGAAAGCATTATGTAAAATCTAAACATCACCTGATGTTAACTAATGCACTTTTTTTCAGAGTGTAAATCGTGGAAGGAGTGCAATACTGCTTGATGTTTATTCTAAGAGGAGAACAGAATTAGAAATTTGCTTTAATCATAGAAAATGTGCCAGAGAGAAGAATGGTTAAAATGGAGTAGTACACAGGGCACAAGGGGAGGAACTACATTGTTTTGCTTCAAGGTAGGAATAAATTTAGTAGATAATATTTTCAGGAATAATCTCTGATCAATTAAGACCATTTGAAAGAAAAAAATGAGTGAGGATTCTCTTTTTTAAAATACAGTGATCCAAGTTTACCCTTAATATCACCGTGATGTAACCAGAATACCTAAAATGACTTATTTAAATCTACTAGACTGTTCTAGGCCAAGAACACTACTAGACTGTATAGGCCAAACAAAAGATAGCAGGCAGCTCTCAGCCAAGGATAGGAGCATTCTATAATCTAGGATCTAAAATGTTTTATTTTCACCATGATCTATTGAAATGTGCATGTCCACAGTGACTGGGTTTGTTCTGTCAGAACGGCTAGCATTTCTTCCTTTGAATACACAAAGGAGATGAAGAGGGAATAGGGAAGTAAACAAACTTCAGCTGTCCCAAAAGTGACTGGAAAATGCAAATGTCATTTGAGATGTGACTGAGACACAAATATGATACAAGATACACAGTGTAACTCATGATACAGTTCACCAAATTTTCCCCATTCACCACATTTTTTGAAGATTTGACTGGGAAACCTATCTGATGAAGTCAAAAAGTTTACCACACAGTCTAATTTACAAGCTGCACTGATTAACTGTTGTACATACTTTCCCTGCAGAGACAAACAAGAAAATTCAAGCATTCATCTAACACACACAGATCATGTCTACGGCTGAGCTACTTTTCTAGGCTCCTCTATAATCAATAAAGAGAAATAGGTTCTTCAAGGTGCAATTTGTCTTACCTTAAATTGGCTGTCTAAAACCAGTGAACTAAATCATGCTCAAATATTCTTTCTTCATAAGGGAGGCTACAGTAACTGGCTAAGATATGAATGTCTAAAAGTTAGGTGACATGAATTCTACCACTTAGCTTACTAAGACCTTGGAGAGAGAGTTTTGTAATTCACAAACAGATGATGAAATGAATTTCTCAGCAAGGACTCATGCAGTTTAGTTGTGGCTGTACATTTCTCCTAAGGTATTTCTTTAATGACAGCTGACAAAAAATGGGATGAAATCTTTTGCCTTAAGGACACGGTAACAGTGAGAAAAACAACTTATTTTGGTACCATTTTGATAGAATAGATCAGCATAAAGAAGTTTTTGTTTTTGTTAAAAAAAAAAAAAAAAAGTATTCTCTCTTAGAAAATATTTATCCTCTCTAAGAAATGCAGATTTTATCGATACAAATACTCCCTGGGAAATCCCTGACAAGACCCTTCAGGGTAAGACAGAGTTGAAAGGACTTAAAGCCATTGCCTACAGATCCTAAGCACATTATTTCATCCTAAAACCTTAGATTTTTTTCTACCTTTCAAGGAACTTCAAAGAATATGCTAATATCATTCCTGAGCATTTCTGATTTTCCAGCCTTTATAAAGCCCTTAATAATATGTTTTAACCTTTGGTTAGCTCTGAAGAGGTCAGGTAGTTGGACTAGATGATCTTTGAAGGAGTCCTAACCAAACTATCCTATCCTATCCTATCCTATCCTATCCTATCCTATCCTATCCTATCCTATCCTATCCTATCCTATCCTATCCTATCCTATCCTATCCTATCCTACACAGTATCCATAGCGTCTAAGCTTTTCCAGCCCAAGGCCTGATGTCATGTCTTTCTGTGTACCTAGCAAACTTAAAGCTACACCGTAACACCACAAAACATAGATCATATGGAATTATATCTTCTCCTGTGGTACAAGATCATTGAGATTCCTCTGTAAAAACTTGTCTTTATGCACAAAAGCAATAATTGTGTATGAATGAAAATTATTTCAATGTTAAAAAAGCTACTGTTAAAAGCTACCTTATAAAAATTGAATTGAAAAGCAAGCATGAGGATAGCTAGTCTTCTCATGTCACAGTCCATGGTATGCATTAAACTATCTCTCTGTTTGAACTGTTAAACTGTCTTATACCATGAAAATACGATATATGAGTTGTATCTTGACACAGGAGATTTAAATTAATAAAAAGGTGTTCTGCACTCATATTCTAGTGAGTGTATCTCACATCTTGTATCTCAGCACTATCTATGTTTTTCATTTAAAATTTATCTTACAAATTTCTGAGCTTTTTAGAAATCTACTTCCATAAGAGGGAAAGAAAAGCTTGTAGGATCAGATTCACAAAGAACTGTTCTGTGGTTACTTACTGCACATTCCCCAAAAGTATAATACAAAAGATTTATTTTGTTTGTTTATTTTTGTTTCTGATTACGCATGCAATTCCATGTAATAAGAAACATATCCAGAAAACACTTACCAATTTTGGGAATTAGATTATTCTGAAGATAGAGAATTTTCAAATCTCGACACCATTTGTCAAGATATTCTAGTTTTTCTATTTCTTGCTGATGTAAAGAGATTTCTTCCAGTGAAAAAATTTCACAGTTATTATGTTCTGCACGTCTTCGAACAAGATCTTCGGTGACTGAAAGAAATATTTGAAGTCATTGGAAAATATATCACAGAATCATAGAATCATTAAGGTTGGAAAAGACCTTCAAGATATTCTCCACCTGGTTTATGAACAACTTAGAGAATCATTAAAGTCTTTTGTTCCACCGTACAAAATAGATATCTAGTATGAACAGCAACAAAAAGAGAATCTGCTACAAAAGACAACAAATGCCAAGTAACATCAGCTCGCTCTGCCACTGTAAACATGATTTGTAAAACACAGTCACATCACCTGTAACATTTAGAAAAATACATACAAAAACTGCTGAGTCTTTTGTAAAAATGTAATGCAAACCTTGCAAAAATGAATCCATCATGCATTGTTTTTGGCATAGCTTAGATTGCAAAGTGATTCATGAAGACAAGCAATGGAGTGTTTTATACTCTTTTATTTCCTGGTGACACTTGTTCACATCAGAGGTACCAGGAAAAAAAAAAAAAAAAGTAAACTAGCTACACTCTCATCATATTCTTCTGCCAGCACAGTGTGCTGAGAAATATGCAGGATCAATGTTGAAAGTGGACAGATATTTTCTACTTTTTCCATGCTTGAGGCAAATCCATAACTAATGCATGCTTATAAATGTTTATGGTGGGATGAAATTAATCCTGGGTATTTATTAGGCACTAACAGTTCATCAAAAGCAAGTGAAAGAGTTTCAGTGGCTGAAACTCACCAGAATCTGGGGTTAAAGATCTTCATGTACTAATATTTAATGCCAGGCAATCTTTCAAACAGTGAAAAGGCTCTGTATAATGAAGCTAAAGAAATTCTATGAGAACCAGTACTCACTCTTGAGCTAGATGTTTTTATTTGTTTCCAGCCCACTGCACCAAAAAAACACTGGCATTCTCATCTCCTTGATAAGCAGTGAACTACAGTGAGGTACTGATTAAAAAATTGTATTTTATCAAATAAGCATAGGTGTTTTCATGGCTGCAAAAACCTAAAGAAGCCTAGCAAGCTTTTCAAAAATTCTCTGAAGAAAAATAATTAAAAAATAAATAAAATAAATAAATGCAGAGATCTAATGAAAACATCCCTGGAGGTGTTCAAGACCAGGTAGGATGGGGCCCTAAGCAACCTGATCTAGTGGGTGGCAACTCTGCCTATGGCAGGGGGGGTTGGAACTAGGTGATCTTTAAGGTTCCTTCCAACCCAAGCCATTCTATGATGCTATGAAAAGAAGTTGGTCCTGACAAGCAATAATGAAAGATATATTTAATTGCTCCTTTATCTCAGGGAGATTTTCTCAAATCATCTGTTTTTTGTTACTGGTCCTGGAATTGCTGCATGTATTCTTGTGGTCTGGGCTGGTAAAAGCTGGGTAATCCACACACCAATACAGTCCATACATGTGCATGTCAGTGTAGTTTGTCAATCCACAGCCTCTGGGAAAGGTGTGAAACAGGCTTTATATGTATGTTATATTATTTTCAGATGAACAGGAATAAATTTCCCATCTGTTCACCCAAGTTTTGTCTGATTAACAGAATTGTGTAATAGTGGTACTGATACTGATGGAGTGTAGATCCTGTCTGCATACAAAGCATATTGGGAAAGGTGTCTTTTTATTTCTCAGTCATTGTGGGTTGGTTTCCTATATCTGAACAACCATCTTCTTTTCAACAGGCTACTGATTAAACCTGAATAAATTATTAGAGAAAATAGAACTATGGCAATAACCACGACTAAATAATTTAGTCTTCACAGAAAATATGAAAAAAAATAATAAATCACCATTTCTAATAAAGTACTTTGCAAATATGCTGGTATAACAGAAATAATGACTTAGTAATGTGTTTAGTAAGTATTATTAAGTAAGAAGAATTCTTAAGTAAGAATACTTACTAATGTTTTTAGTGACAGATCTTTTAGTGACCGTATTTCCAGTGCAAACTGGTATTTCTGAGCAAGAGCACAATATTCCACAATCTGCAGACTTACACTTTGGAGACAGCATTATGCTTTATGCCCTTTCTTTATACAAAAGGAATTCATATGAACTATTCTTGACAGTTTTATTACAGTCAGATTTCCATTTGCTGATGAAAAGAAACTTGAACTGATTGTTGCAATGATTATGCAAAGATGCTAATTTTCATTACCAGATGGTTTGTAAGGTAGAAACAATAATTCCCAATAGAAGCTACAGTGGGGTTTTATTGACCTGTTTTGGGGCTGCTGTAGGGAAATGAGCGAACGTTTGACATTTTGTATGCTACCTACTGCATTTAAGAGGAATGAGGGAAACAAACTTGCAAGAGAAAACAATTAATCTGATTTTTTTCCAGGCACTGACAAATCACATTGCAACAACAGTTTTTGATGAAAATTATATTAACTAGATTATCTGATGTTGCTGTGTGCTATAACAGAAGAGTGGACCAGAGACCTGAGAGATCACAGCTACTCTCACATTCCCATGAACACAGGAGGAATTAAGGGGAGGACATCAGTAGACAGGAGATAAAACAGATCTTGAAGATCTTGCAGCTGGGCTTCTGGAAATTGTTTTATTCAAGATTTAGCAGATAAAAAGGAAAGCTTTAAATAAATTGATAGAATAAGCAGTTATATTAAGAAATAATATGGGAAAACGGCATTTCAGAGAAGTGAAGTATTCAACCATTATTTTAAGACTCATTTCATACCATGCTGCTGAGGAGATAAAGCCATTCTCCTTCAGGCAGTGCCTGCTCAAAGCAGTCATCTGCCAACTTCATGCAGAGATAAGGATTTGCTTTCCAAAGCATTATTTTAGCCCAGCAAGGGACTGGCGGTCCTGTGATGGTATACAATCAAAATAGATCACAGGGAAAATCACAGAGGAACGGAATTCCTCAGTAGCTTTTTTCCTGAGTGATATGTACGAGCACACGGTCTTTTAGGTCACACTGCTTTACCTCTAAAAGATTACAGATTCGTAAGTAACGGTATGGTAGATATTAACCTTATTCAAAACTTCTGTTTTGTTTTGTTTTACAACTTTGATAAAGTACTTGCTTTGGCTACCTCTACCTAAAAAAATATTAAAAAAAAAAAAATTCAATGCAGAATTGAAAATTCGTAATTACAGGGTAAGAACTGGGCTTACAGCTCTAACTCCTAACACAAACCATCCCGCCAAGCATCTCCCCTTGCAGCAGGACATCCCTAACATGGAGGGGTCCCTGCCTGGGCTGTGCAGCTGCCGGGCTTCTCAGGGGGACAAGGTGCTGTGCTTGGTAAAATAATATGGGTTGTTACTCCCAGGGAGCTAATTAATGCAGCTGGGTAAATAAGAGCAAGGGAAGTGGGGGGAGAGGCTGGCTGCCAGGGCATGGAGAAGGGGTAGGGAAGGGGTGGCAAGCATGGGGAGGGGAAATATGGGATCTGGGGAGCGGGTCAAGTCGTGGAGAGGAGGGACGGGGTCCTGGGGAGGGAAGGGAAGCGAAGCAAAGCGGCTCTTGGTGACACTCACTCCGCACCATGGCTGCCCTCCGCTTCACGCCGCCGCCATTACAGGACGCTGCTGCTCTGCCATGGCAACGGGGCCTGGAGGGACATGGCAGCCAGGGTGCCCCTAAGCTCAGCTCGGGCTGAGGGGCTCCGGGTCCCCGAGGGGTGGTCCCCGCACCCCAGGGTGCTGCCAGGTTCCTGCCCTGCTCCCCTCAGTACGGCCAGGGGCTGCCACCCACAGGGCTGGGGATTCCCCCTTCCACCGAAGACGCTGGCTGCTGTCCTGTTGCACTGGGAAGCGTGCCATAAAGGGTTTGGGGAGGTTGTTTGTGTGTTTCAAGGCTCGATCAAACCTAAAGGTCATCTACTATCAGAAAATTCACACGTATTTTATAAGAATAAAAAAAGACCATGGGAATCTATTGGAAATGTTGATTTACTAAGTCATTTACCTAGGATGTAATTCATTAAAATATAGAACACTGTGTAGCTTTCTAATGTTCTTGCTGTTTAGGGGATAGGAGTAAGAAGGTATCATTGAGTTAAAACTAATAAATTCTGTGGCGATAACGAGACACAAAATAGTTTATGCACTTTATAACCCCCCTGTATTTGTCCTATCTGCCTGTGGCAGTCACCAGCCCACGCTGAGGACAAAGATGCTGACAGAGCTGGTTGCACGGCACCACCTTGTGGCTCAAACCCGCACTACAAAGCCACAGAGATGAGGCTGGGGGCGAGGCCTTCTGCTATCTACTCATTTATTTTGTATTAAATTGAAGGCCCCTTCAAATGATGACTTTTATAGATGATCCTTTTACTAGGACTATTAATTTCTGACTTGAGAGTACAACTCACAATCAAGCTAATCAATGTCAAGAAGAGATAGCTCATTCTTGCTATGTTCAATATTTTAAGTACTGTGTCTTCATTGTACTGCCCAGAAATACCCATTATTTTGTTATGCTGAAATCCTGTTCTTTCATCCTTTTGCAGAGAGTCTATCTGATAGTTCTGAAGAAATGAAATTAAAATGTGAAATGGATTCAATTGCAATATACTGAAGGGAAACATTTATTTCATGATCTCTGTGCAGAAAATTAAGACGGTTTGATCAATGCCAGGTCAAGTTCTACCCTAAAAGAAAAACAGGATTTGTGAAATTCCAATTCTTTTTTAACATGGAAACAAGTTGTTTGTTTTTTGTTTAATAGTTGTTATCTCTTCAATTATCAGCTGATACATTGGGAAAGCAGATTGGCTTCTGCACTCTCAGTACCTGGTTAAAACCAGATCTGAAAGGAAGCAGCAAGATAAAAGCTTCATCCAGAGCCTAAAGATTCAGAATAAATACCTTCGTGCCCTGGAGGAAGACCTCAAGTAGTCTTTTACAAGCTACATGGGTGTAGGAAGGAGAAATCATATCAGGACAGTTTAGCGTCTCCTGCGCCCCTTGTTCCATATGTCTAAGTGATTAATATTGCTTTGGATTAAAAGCTTTAAAGTTCATGTATTCATTTAAGGAAAAGAATATCCAAGTTCAGTCATTCTTAGCAATGAAAATGTACTCATTTTATGCAAAATTAAATGGCTTCAACAGAGATCAAAGGATGCTCACTGCTTAATAAGCCTAGGACCAGAAAGTCTGTCTTTGCAGAGGAGAGGAGAGTGAATTACATGCAGATGTGATTAAAACTCTGCCAAATCTGTGCTGGATTGCTAGGTTAGGTTTTGGGCTGTGTGGTGGTGACACACCTGGGAGGCCCCAGCTGGTGACCAACCAGGCCAGCACCTTTATTTCCACTGCTGAAATGGTGAGGCCTGTTTTACCTGAAGCTGATGTAGACAGCAATTTTTTCACTTTGTTAGTAGTCTGATGGATCCTTTAATTCCTTTCATTTCCAATATTTTAATTGTCTATATGAATGCTAGTTAAATACCCTATATCAGAGCAGATCTATGCAGCTCTAGAACTGGTCTCTACTATCTTCTTACGTTATCAATAAATGTTGAGCACTAGATGGGTGTGTGTCTTCCTGTAAATGAGAGTAATAACCAGAGATGACCATGCTCTGAAATGCTACCTATGGATGTTTTTTGTCATTGTTTCTTATACGTGAATGAATTTCAATTGTCAATAAATTCATTTTTGCCCAGTTTGAATCTGTTTTGCCTCTGACAATAAGTAGTAAGTGATCTTTATCACTTAGTAAGTGTTTGTAAGACACTACTTAGTAAGTGTCTTTATCTTACATAGGCTTTCTCATGCTATTTTATCCTCCTGTCCTGCTGGGGAGGAGGCGTGAGAGATTGGCTGGGTGGGAGTCCAGCTGCTAGCCAGGGCACAGCAGCAAATAGAAATGGGGGATTGCAAAGAGGTGGTCTAGCAAGATCTTTGTGGAAGTAGAAGTGCTGAAGTGGATTTCTTGAGAGTATTTCAAATCCTGAAGTAACTCACCAGTAAATAAGGCAGAAATGGATCCAAAGAGGTGACTTTGTGAGTTAGGGTAAAATTACAGAAGATGCTTTCCTCTGTCTATACCACGTTGTTTTTCATTTTGATTTTCTGTTACTTTTCCATTAATGCAGTTATCTTGTAATTTTTTGGGGGGTTGCCAACTTTGTCAGTTTTACAGAGGGGACATTGCAAGGCTGCTACAGCCCCCCTGTCCAACCAATAGTGAGGCTGAGCATATATTTCCAGCAGGCACAGAGGACCAAGCAGGTCCCTCCGGGAGCCAACTCCTCCATGCACAAGTGAAGCTCTCAGAGAATCTCGCTCTCAGAGAGAATCACACATGCACGCCCAGCTCCTGGGAGACATTTCAATTTCTTGCTGGCTGGTCTGCCTTGAGACTCCTGCTGATGCTGGAGCACCCTCATTCGCTCCAGTTGTCGTGTGACCCCTGGTCTCACTCCAGTTGCTGCACTCGGACTCCCCATACACATATATGCTTACCAATAGAGAGGCCTTCAACCAGAAGGAGTTAGAAATGGGATTTAATGAGAAGATTGCTCTGATGATGCACAGTCCCCAGGACCAAAGCTCTTCTGGGACAGCCCTGGCAGGGGTTGGGGCAAGGACTCGTGTCTCTGTTAATGGGGCTCTGGCACTGTTCTTGTGCCTCCTGCCTCCAAGCTTCTTTGTTGTGGAGGTCAGCTTTGTATCCCATAACCTGAAAGGATTGCTTAACTGCACAGAACATTGGCTTTTTTGACTACTATGTTACTTAGCACACATAGGTTAATTCTAGATGCTGAACTAGGATAATCACACTGGGGACTTTCTTGTCTTCATTAAAACTGCAGGCTCTTCAGAACAAGGATTACTTCTTACTATATGCTTCATGCAACAAAATATTTGCCATCTGTAGGACATTAACACAATGTACATATTTTTAAAAATGTAATTTGGAGGTTACAGCACTTATTGTGTTCATTATTTTATGAGTTATTTTTTACTCTAATTATGTACTAAGAGCTTCAAGTAATGCAAATCTGCATTCTTAGCGTGAGACAATGTCCATGGCACAAATAATGTAATAAACCACATTACAAACAGGAGAATGGTCTTGAGTAAGAACAAGAGTCCCATCTGGAATTAATTCCCTGGATAAACTCACTTTACTGCTTTAATACATTACATGTTTATTTGTTAAATGCATAAAACAGTACAATATAAAATACCATTCTGTGTCATAACAAAATAAGTTTTACAGCATTATCATCACAGTGCATAAGAAATATCTTGAATATGTGCTCACTCCATGAGAATATACTCATGTAAGGTGCTATAGCCCTAGAGAATTGAAGTCCATGGATAAATTTTAGCTGCTAAAATTCTGCAAATCAGAAGTTTAGATGGAAATCAACTGACTGATACGCACTCAGAATCTGGAACTATGTCTTTCTATTTATTTCTTATTTAATTGAGGCCCTGGGCAACCTGCTCTAGTGGGTGGCACCCCTGCCCATGGTAGAGGGTTGGAATTAGATGATCTTTAAGGTCCCTTCTAACCCAAAACATTCTGTGATTCTATGATTCTTTGATTCTACGGTTGTTAGTTTTGTTGTTACTATTATCATTATCATTATATTCTATGGTGTTAACAGTTACTTAGTAACTAACTGTAATGAAATTAGGCTTTCATTTTCATACCAAAGTACCAATAAATCCTGTCCAAAGAGCACATAACCTACAGGGCAAGACAGAAAAAGGCAAATAACAAATTAATCATAATATATGCAATTCCTAATAAACAATTTCAGTACTGATGACACTCATAAATATAGGAAAAATGTAAACAAGAACAACTTAACTATAAAAGTAAATGATAAAGAGGACAAGCAAAAGGCAGCATAAGAAATTGTACAAAAAGAATAATATGAAATGAACTAGCAGTTTTGCTCAGAATATATTAAAATATACAAAGATGTTTACAAAACTCTGCAGCTAATTCACAAAAAAATACACAAAGGAACAACTAGGCTGAATGGCGATACCTATTTCCTGTATCACCATGGTTTATTCAATACCATTTAAGTCAAAATGTTAATCTTAGTCCATATGGTTTGAGTTCTATTTGTAATACTTCCAGGAGAAATACAAAACAGACTTGATCACACATTAGGAACATTATAAGCTAAGGGACTCCATAACTATTATAATTCTGCTTGCTGCTGTTCACTTCAACATGAACATCCACACTATTAAGCACTATGTGATATATAATCAAGAATGACCTTGAAATTCTGCTGAACACACCAAGAAATATAAGACAAGTCATAATGATAAAAAATAATTGTAAGGAAAGGTATCAGATAATGTACAGGGATTTATAAATCTCTATCTTGAATTTCTTCTTTGATTTCCTTTTTTTTGATATATATATATAATGTGCTATATTAGAACTGAGTTTAATCACTTTAATCGCTGAGGACAGAAAGAAAATTCTAGGAATCCTCACTCTTTGTAGATGCGTTGGTTAATCACTGCCCAACAAATGATTTTACTTGATGAGAATTACTGTTCAAAATTATTCTAGGCTTTATTCCCTAGTTAACAGAAATTGCAAATACTAATTACATCTGACAGTCCAGATTTAATCATTTAGATTAGAAAATGTTGTCTTCAGTTTTTCATCAGATAGATTTTGACTTCAATTTTTCTTCTGATGGGATTGAACTTAGCACAGTATTGTGCCTCTTTTCAGGGAAACAATATAAGGTTTGCTTTCCTGTCCATTGGAATATACTGCAGGGAACTGTCAAAGGCAATCAGTCTGGTAACTGAAGAGAACTTAGTTAATTCAACGTTAATGAATATCACAGAGGGCATCTCTTAGCAGATCCCACGCATCTTATTTTTAGCCTTGAACTCCAATTACAAAATTGTTCCAGAGCTTCGCCCTCTCCTGATAAGAACACTCATAATTTACAGCTTTTATTTTTTCATAGACAGATTAAAGCAATTCATATTACACTAAACTTTTAGCAAGCTAAATCAGCTTCTTCTTAACTTGCTGTTGTATGTTGACCAACTAGCTTACAGTGAATTTAAGCTTTCTTGCTTTTCAGTGTATCACTTCTGTAACTGCAGAGTAATTGCAGTCTTAGACTTTTGTCTCAGTACAGGATATTATTCTTCCAGATTATTCTTCCAGGAAATTATTTAAATACTAAAGATCTTTTAATCCTCTTAAAAAAATAAAAAATAAAAAAATTGTTTAGTAAAGGATCTGGTATAACTACCAATAAAATAGATAACACAGCATATTTATAAATATTACACTATGAGACTCTCAGTGCTCTCTATAGTTTAACAAAATAAAGCAGAATAATACTGACAAAAATACTCAAGTGCATTAACTACAACTAAACAAGTTTTATGAAAAAGAACATTCCCTTGTCACCTTTTACTGAAACTGCAAACCCAAGTTTTGTTACATCGGATAGTCTGCCTTCATGTAAGACCAATGTAATGATCTGAGCAAATGTAAATTACTATCATAAATTGCTAATTTGGGTGAAATTTCCCTGTTTGAGCTCTTAATGTTGAGCTATTGATGCTTCGCTTCAAAATATTACTAGCATATATTTATTTACCCTTTGAAAGAGAAACATACATATTAAATTGCTGTAAGTACACTTTACTTCATTGCCTCATTTCTTTGGATTTTTGATGCTAGAAATATGGCTACAATGTGCTTGATCTTGGCTTGGACATAGAATTGGACAGACAGTGGTGTTTCAGTTTTGTAGATTCTTTTTTCCACCAGAACCTTTAATGTATGTGCTTTCATTGCAGTTTTGAAATCCCAGTCATTATGCCTGCCAGCCTGTTTGTATCCCGTCAGCAGACCTAGCTCTCCCACAGCCAGTATTTCACATCTGATTTACCAGCTGGGGCTGTGCTAACATCACTTTTAGCACAACAGGGGACAAGTAGACTAGAAGTAGCACTAGTTATAGAATGATTTGGTGGTCAAGAGTGTGCTTGCTTGCACATTATCATCATTTTGTTGCACAGGAAGATGAAATGCATTCTGTCCTAGCTAAACTGGCATATAGGGAGATATTTAAAGTAGCAGATTATTAAAAGCTTGGAGTCACAAGACAGCAGTTTTTGGTTACCCACAGGATCCATGTGTAATATAGTCTCTGTGGTAGCAAAGATACAAGTTGAAAAATAAGGCTCAATGTTTCCAAATTACAGTTACTAGCTGCAGGGTGTTTTTTGTTTGTTTGTTTTTGTTTCTTTGTTTTGTTTTGTATCATAACCCAGGTAATTCAGAGTAATTATTGCTTTTCCACATACTGACTGCTGGTTTTCTGAAGAATCCCTTCCTTCTAATAACTGGGCACTGATTTGTCATCATTTATTTATATTTTTTGTGATGTTTCTTTCTTCCTTTTTTCTCTTTTTACAGTGCTAGGTATAACTGCCAAAAAACAATGTGCACACATGATACAATAATGCTTCTGAAATATTACCACATGTACTCATTATCCAAACCAATTATTGTTGACAGCATATCATTACAAGAAATTAATACATATAAAGTATTTGAAGACATCAGCTATTTACCAAAAGCAAAATTAATGGGGATTGCTAAACACTTTCACCATTGGTTTACTATCAAAGTGCTTGTAAGACTCATGCTTACGCAGGACTTCCTTGACATGAGACTAGAGGTACCACAATCTTTTTGCATTACTGCTTGCAGAAGTTCACCAAGAAGTATGGCATCACCTGTAGTTTGACCAGAACAAAAATAAAGCTAAAATGAATCGTATTCTAAAGGAAGAACACCAATAATTCTGATCGTCTTGATTTTGTTGTTGTTGTTGTTGTTTGTTTGTTTGTTTTTGTTTGTTTGTTTCCTTGGGAAAATGTGTAACAGTGCCACAAGGAAGTATCTAGTAGTTTGATGCTGAGGAAAACAAATTTGAGGAGGAAGAAAAATGAAAACTGCTGGTGAACTGATAGTGAAATATATAGAAGTAAACACTCTGACTTTAAGTTCCTGTGGAAGGCAGGAGAAGAGCTTGTTTTGAAATGCTGTCATGCTATCTCCAGTGTCCTGGACCAACCTGTATTTCACTTCTGCTAGGCAACAAGTCCCAAGTTCTCCCTTCCATCCTGTAGTACCTGCTTTGGTTAATATTGATGCTGTCTTTCAAAATCAGTAAGCTTTAAACCTCTGGAGTTGTAGCCATGGATAAATAGTCCCACTGACTGTAGGAAGTGCCATATCTAGTGTCCACTGCGTGGCTGTGGATGAGCAGTATGCATTTTTCATCATAGACTTTCACACTCTGCAAAGTGATCAAGTGCCTACACGCAGTTCTAAAATGCTTTGTTCTCAGGATGAACAACCTCTTTCTGAGGAATGACTCCAAGGTTGCACCTGCAGCTGTGCAGCTGCCCTTAGATCTCAGAAGCTGAGCTGCACTCATCCAAGAACTGATGAACAAGGCTGTTTTATCCACTCTACAAGGAACACAGCTCCTGGGCACAGCTCCACTTAGGTTCTTCTTTTCATTTTTTGCTTTTCAACTTAGAGAAATGAAAGAAACAATGAACCAGGACTGGGATGGCCAACTTACAGTAGAAGGAAGTGAGTGCTCCTGTTTTAAGGGCTCAGAGCTATACCAAGACTTTGAAATGCTTGATAAACAAAAACTGGGGACTGAGAATAAAACTTGACTGAAAAATATTAAGGAAGAGAAGAAACTATACGGGTTTTTCAAATGTTTTGGACAGATACAGGTTGATGCTGCTTCACTCGTTGAGTGGTATCAGACTAGAGCAGTACAGCACCTGGCCCTACTGTTCAGTTTAAACTGAAGAGGACTTACTTTGCCCACTATTGAAAATATATATATATATATATATTTTTATTTTTTTTCCCTGGGATAAAGCAAAGTGGCTGTTTAACAGCTTAACACCTATTGTCAAACAATAACAAATATTTCATCCACATAAAATCAAAGAGGAGTTTTAGACAGCAAAGTGGAATAATTCACTGTGGAAACTGGCAAAAGTCCTACAGCTAAACCTGCTTTTAATGAAAAGCTCAGGGAACTCTTCTGTTGTGCTTGAACCCTATTTCATAACGGTGCTCTCCCAGAAATGTGTGGAATTCTTTCAATCTTAAACATATACTCACCAATATTCCTGCTTTTCAGTTGTTCCTGTGGGGGGGAAATAAAAATAAAATGTGTATGTTTTTGTATGTCCTGATTCAAACAGTTCATTATGTTCAATATATTGTGTAGGTTCTGCTTTGCCACACTTCCTTATGCTGTTGGATTACTTGTTTGAACAGGTATATTTTCTTTTGTGTTGAGGGTAAAAGAGGTATTCTTTGTACCCCAGTAAATGGAAAGCTCTCAGAGTGTGTTTGTTTGCCTCTTGTGAGGAACAGCTTTGTTTATGACTCAGGACTAAACTATTCAGGAAGTCTGAAAACTGTACTTTGCAACATGCTAGTCCTAACTTGGTGGCCTTGATTTTATTTGGAATAAGGACATAGTGACAAAGTGTAATATACTATCCTTGGATACTTGAGGTGTTGTGCTAAGACCCTTGGTTGATCAAAATCTGAGGCTATCACTGCAATATCGCTCTCCAGGCTTTGCCTACTTCCTAGCTTCCCATTTACTCAATTCAAATGCTGCAAATCTGCCAGATTTGTCCTGTTGCCCTTGGGATACATTAAAATCTTGAACTCTGACACAGTATCAGAAACAAACAGTGTCCTTTTGAGCTTCACTTTCACCACGTATTCAGATAAGCCCAAATATTTTTAGTATTAGCAGCATTTTAGACACATTCAGAAGAATTTTCTGCTGCATAGAAGGTGAAAGAATAATAATTCATCAATCAAGCACATGCTTGCAGTACAGAGGCCTATGCATGAGCTGTTCTGAAGTAGTAATTCAGATCTATGATGCTGCAAGTATTTTTCTCCAGAAGGATTTAGAAGCTACAACTCTGTGCAAAACTTTTAAATAAAGCAGTCTGAAACAGAGCCACATTAGCACCATTCTTCAACTCATCAGATTTAATATTTCTAAAACATTTATCAGACTAAAGTATGAGCCAAAGGCAAAGCTCTGTGCTGAACCTAATGGTGCATTGGGTTAGTGGGGCATGTCTTATGTTCATGTCTCTGCGTGTTCATATTATAGCGTATTAGGTTCATCTTCCTTTTCTGTGAACAGTTAACTGTTACAAAATTTATTGCACATTATTAAAAGTCAGTTTTTCAAAATAAATGGAAATTTTCTGTGAATACAAATCAGTAACAGGAGAAGCCAAATCCCTATCAAAAAATTCATATCATGCCTTCTATATTTTGACATGAAAACAACAGAAGGAATCTCTCCTTCCTCTCAATATAAAATTCCTAAATTTTTCTATTTATCACATGACGTTATTGCTACTTACCAAAACTTAGCTGTTTTGAAAGATGTGACAAGACCGAAAAAAGATGACAGAGCAGCATCTTGGGACAAAAGAACTGTGAAGTTTAAATGCAAAATCCTGTAATTGATTGAAGGCTACATTCTGTCCCCATATGCCCACATATTGCTCTTATCAGCATCAATACGAGCCGCAGATTTACATCTAAGGACACTTTTTTGTCCTCATATGTGACTTAGTAAAAGATTATGTGTTAAGCAGAAAGAAAGTTTGTACTTACAAACTAAAATTATCAGCAACAAAGTGGCAGACAATCCTCCCAGAAAATACCTGAGAATATAATACCCATAAAGTTTAGAAAGAGGCAAGGAACGCATATTGGGGTAACAGAGGTGAAGACTGGATGCGAGGAGAACAGAAGGTTCTTGCAGATGAACCAACAAAACTATCCTAGGTGAACTGCAATTTGAAACTTTAAGTTCCTTAAGCTATTGTGGATAATGTCCTAGAAATAAAGATCTCAACATTCCCTGACTGAGAGAAACACCCATATTGGTCATTTGGAAAGACATGGATCCATTCTGGTTCTTCTCAGGCTTCCATGATCCTTGTCCAAACACACTTGACAAAGTAGGTGCCTCATCTGCATACATATTTCTCATTTTGTTGCATACCTACATAGCTGAGATGCTTGTCTGCATCAGCTATCATGTGAAAATACATTTTCACAGTAAGATACATTTAGCTTTGAAAACTAGACCCTTATTTTATCTTTTATTAACCAGGAAAATGGAGTAAGCATTAACATAAACAACACATAATAATAACCAAAAAAGAATTACCTTGTACATATTGAAATGATTAAACACAAGATCAGTGCAGCCATCTGAGCAAGAACATTTCGCACTGTGCTGGATTCTAAAACAAAAGTATGGAAAATAATTCTCATGAGTTTTAAGGAAAATAAATACATGGTAGGAGGTGTTTGCAAAGACTGTCTTCAGCCCATAAGGGCAGTCTCTTCAGTTTCTCTCTGTTTTTAAGAGTTCACTTAGAGTGATTCAAAGCAGAAACCTAATTTTCATGCTCTGGGTGTCTCTCAGGAGTCTTTCTCCCCCACGACCATAGAGACACTGTGCCCTTCAATGCTTGCAGGAAACAAACGTTTCGGAATAATTGCCCTTTTCAGTTTTTATTCCCATGCCCTTTCCTCTATTTTCCTCTTCACTTTTTTTTTCTTTTTACATTTGTCACTGAAAATAGGAGGGGAAAAGATGTGAGCAGGGAGAAGTGAACAATGCTGATTTCAAGATTTTATTAAGGAGTCATTTAAAATGCATGTTTTTGGAATAAATTTTGTTCTTCAAGGATCTATATCAACATTTTTAATGTGTGTATTTTTGGTTTACTCTAAAAATGCAGTATCTTAGGATAAGAGTGTAACATACCTGCCTTGATCAATGTCTCTTCATTTGCATTTATCATGAACTGAGAGCAGGACGCTGAAGCACAAAATGGTTTCCCAGGCTGAATAAACTCCTCATCTTTGGTGAGAGAAGCTCCAAGAGATGCTGGAGTTTGCCCTTGTGGAACATGGCTATCATATTCAGAGGAAAAGTCTGAATCGCCTGCCAAAAGTGCATATGTAAATGAGACCACACAAAAGATGAGCTTTGAGAATTTGTGGTAATAGATTTTATACACACACACACACACAATACTTAATCATAGGGAGGTTTTCAGATTCTTAGGAGTAGGCAATTGGCAGGTTCAATGTATGCAAAAGAAAATATTCAGAGCAAAGACAAGGCTGCATAGAGCATAACACAATGATGTTATTAAAAGAACCAGGTGAAAGCAGCCAGCTCCAGATATTAATTGCACCGGGATAAATGTCACTGGTGATGTCTTTGTATTCAAGCTCAGTCTAAAAATGTCCTTTTGACACAAAGGTCTTTGTGGACTCACATTCCATGAACTTTAATGCCAAGAGCTCAACTCACCACTTATAATTCCATTGTTCATCTAACCTTTACCTGCACATTTTGGGAGACAACCTAAACAAAACCTATAGAAGGAGCTAAGAAATTCCCAGAAAATATAGGCTATAATATTGTAGCTGGTCAGAGCTTACCAATATCAGCCTGACTGGCCTCTAGTTTACTGCATCCATCAGACCAGGGATCATCCCCATGGGAGGACTCTGTATTGCTGAGGACAGTGCTGCTGAGCCATGAGCTGGAGGCACTGAGACTGAACAAGCTGGCAAGAGAGCGGCGGATTTTCTTCCTCCGCCTGAATATGCTAGAAAGAAAAGACACATTGTCGAGGGATAGAATTAATTAGTCTTAATGAACAGGGACAGAGCTCTGAAGCTTGCAGAACTGAGATGCAAGAACCAGGTTTGGAAATGGTTCCCAGCTCCGTTGTTGACCCTGGGCATGTCACCAAGGATGTATCAGCAGCATGGTAATGTATTGGGCTACTGTGATGTTGGGTATTGTGGTGCCAAATGATACTACTGTTGACAGACTTTGACAGTACTCCCAGTGTTCTCATGCTCCCCATAAGTTTCATGTGATATAGCCTGGATCCCCAGATCCACTGTACTTTGTACTTTTTTGGACTGCATTTTATATCCCATCCTAGATCAATGTTTCTTCTGAAATTGAGAGGGAGTTTTCCCAATGAGGAATGCTAGGACCAGACGTTTTTATTATTATTATTATTTTTTTTTTAATTATTTTATTCCTTATCATGATAACACCCCATTGGCAAAATCAGTTGTAACCCTTATTTTTCTTTATTTCACACAACTCCAATTATAGCAACTGTACACTGAACGGTTTTGGGGTAGTAAAATTAGTTATGACTGAAAATTAAATGATTTTAATCACTGCACTCTGCAAACTAGATCAATTTAGATACTCCCATTAAGAAACAACACTAATATATATATAAATAAAGGAAAAAAATAAGAAATCTTAAGCCAACCAAAACGTAGGCAGCCATGCAGGTATCTCCAGATAAGCGCAGAGATGTTGAGCCAACTGCCAGCCTGGAGTAAAACCTGCCTGTAGTTCACTTACCGAACTAAGTTCTCTTTGTATGTAACACTTGTCTGGGATGGTGTCAGTGTTATGTTGCCCTCTTCATCAGACAGAAAACTGTCTTCTGTCAAAACGTAATAACCGTTAGAAAGCAGTCGGGGGCTGCGGCGACATGTGAAAAGGGAGCCTCTGAGAGGGTCGGTGGAACAATACCCGCAGGCAGTGTCATCAGCCAGAAAGGCACAAGCATAACTGAAAAGGAGAGAAACCCAAACCTCCAATTAAGTGAATGTCTAGACAGTGCAAAAGCATGATTTAATAATAGCAAATTTACATATGCCATCAACTCTCAGTTAATGGGAGCTGGCAATGAGAGATGGATTTAAAATATGCAGATAATGCTTTTACTTCTGGACCTAGGAGGCTTCAGCCAACTACGGTGTGACTGCCTCACGCTTTCCAGAGCTTCAGATTACAGGAAATAAAATCTTTTAAGTATGGAGTGAGTAGTGACATGGGTAGAAGAATCAAAATGTTGTAGAGGTTTTTCTGTGGTAGGAATTTTACTCTTTTTTTTTTTATTTTTACTTATGGTGAGCCCTTTCTCCTCAACAACTTGACTTTCCAAGTGGCCATGCAGTGACATCCATGAAAGAAAAGGAAGACATTGTATTGACTGAGTGGTTGAAATAGGCTTCAGCAGCAGGTTTCAGTATCCCATACACAATGTGACAGAGGGGGAGAATGATTTCATTAGGGGGGGGAAGAAAGTGGACTGGAGGTGTTCTAAAACCTCATAATTGCAAAGCTATTGCTTCTAATGCTCCAGTGCAGTACTTCTAATTTCTCTTTAAATTAGTAATTAAATTAGTATCAGCACTTGAATTCTGTCTGGCCAAGGGGGATTTTACAAAATCTCCAACAAAATAAAAACAAAATTAAACAAGTATAATTTTCCTCAATACCTCCGCAAAATATGTTCTGAGAGGCTGCGTCTGTGTTCTCCATCAAACGCTGTTGAACCTGCCGAGGCAAAGGCCAAGTAAGAAGGAGTTGTTATCGTATCCACTGACAGCTTAAACAGCTGACAGGTCGTCACTGACAGGTACTTTGTGTAAATCAGAAAAGAAGTTAAACAAAATGAAAAATTAATTAAGAGAGAGGTTGAAAGAGGTTAAAAAAAAATAAAATAAAAGAGCATAGGAAAGATGAGGTGACTACAGGAATACTGTTTAATATCACGTCAACCAGGACAACATAGAATCAGAGACAACCATAATCAAACACTTGCACAGGTTATTAGTAATTTTAATGGTATTTTTCCATAAATCTGGTTCATGCTGAAAATAGTACGCATTACAGAGTAGAAAGGAAGGGCCACCATTATCATTGCAACACATTTTTTGGATAAAATTTGCAGACATGGCACAGCAGGCATGGGGAAAGAGACCATGGCCAAAAAAAATGACAATAATACTGTGGCAGAAAATTAAGGAAATAAATAGGATTTGTCTGGATTATTACGGCTGAAGTTTGCAAAGTACTGCCAGATGTTCAGCAGCTGCCAGAATCAATCTTATGAAATGCAAGCAATGGTTATCCATAGGGAGAATTTATATCCGTTGTTACATAGAATCATAAAAGATATGACCTTTCCCTATAGAACCTTACCTAAAAGTGTCTTTAGAGCATCATTCTTACAACACTGTTATTAAATGCCTGTCACTCACCTATGAGAGAAGATAGGCCTAAGAGGATTTTTTTTTCTTTTTTTTTAATGTTCAATTTTGAGCTGAAGCAAGGGAAAGACATTAAGGTCAGTGTTCCTACTTTGGTAATGTTGTTTACCCTCATTTGGAGCTGGGTTGTCAGTCACAGCCTGGATACTGAGCCTTGGGAGCCAGCAGAGTTGCCAAAGAGGGAAGTAAAACTTTCTGGGGTATTTTTTGCAAATTAGTCCTATTATCCTACTCCCATAGATACTGTTTCTCTGACATAAAAAAAAAAAAAAAAAAAAAAAAAAAAAAAACACCAACAAACACATTTCACTTTACTGTGGGGAAAATTATGCTCTAACCCTGGCAAAAACAACTTACAGAGAGACAACTGGTAGAAACTTGGTGGAGGTACAAGATGTCAAGCAACATCAGTCAGATTGTCACACAGCAAAATGTCCCAAAATGAATGTTATGTGTGTTTTACTGACTTACATGTTGTAGACCTACTTTTTCACACACAACCAGCGTCTGAAAGAACTTCTCTTACTTTAGGCAAAATCATGCTTACAATCATGATACTCAATTATGCAAAAATATTGTACTAAAAAAAAAAAGAAATCTGTCTGAACACTAAAAGAAAAAAAATAAAAAATCAACACGTGGTTAGTAGACCTGGATGTAAACTAAAAAAGGCTAAATCCCAAATTTTGTCACTCTCCCAGGATTGCCTCCAGACCAGGTTGTTTTTGCACAGGCAAAAATGCACAAACTTACTTGCTCTTGGTGTTGATGCAACATGTGATATTCCATACATCTTGGAAAAGTTCATACACCTTGGGATAACAGGTAATATAGATTATCTGTTAAAGAGTTTAAAAAGAAAGAGAGGAATGTTTTGTTTTACTTTGTTTTAAAATCAGGAAGGATACCATCGTGAACATATATCACAGTATTAGTTATAATACAGTCCACTGAATATTCTCGCTAAGACAAAACTGATTGGTTGTAGGGCAAATGTGTTTGAAAAGGGATAGAAAGGAATAACTGCATCAACTAAATCTATTACAATTCTCTAATAATCTGACAGCAAAACTTCTTTCCAGCAACTGACAGCCATATCACGGTTGTATTGCACTTGATTTTCTCACTTATGCTAACACAGAGTAGCAGCCACTAACAAAGAACAACTGTAAGGATAGTGGCTTACATACGGATAGTGCTGTCATTAGAAAGCTTTGACACAAACTGAAGAAAGCAGCAGAGCAAACCACAATTCTGCTGCTGCTAATTTGGATTACTTCATAAATTTGTGAGGTGTGTGAGGTATGGCTCTGCAGGACTGCAAGCTTCCACTGAAGGCAATCTTCAGGTAAAATATAGTGTATAAATATATGCTTATAACACAGTGTGAGAGCTATACACATGTAAATACATTACTGGGGAAGCGATGACTTTCTCTCTTTTAAAGAACAGTTTCTGAGCAATTGTAATTTGCTTTTAACCCATTTTAAGTTATGATAATGTCAAGCTTCTATAAACAGTCATGTAAAAGGGAGTCCAACAAATTTTTTCTCCACTCACTATCATGAAAATCTGTGGCTTATGCATTAGTGAAGAGGGCTCTTGAATGTCATAATTAGCTCAATGCTGGAGAAAGCACGTAAGCATCATGTTGTAGACAATGCTGCACAGAGTCCTAGCTGTATTTAATATTCAGTTCCATTTGTGGGCTATTAACAGTGTGAGCAGCTAGAGTAACAACACAAGCAAGCCAAAACAAAGCATTTGAACCACCACTGTACAATGAAGCAGCAGTATATGTAAATCACAAAATGAGCATCCATATAGAACCTTTAGCAGCATGAGAAAAGGCCAACAGCTTTAAGAAAATTGACTGAAAGTGAATCTAAGATAAACATAGCAATAAACAATGGCAAGAATCCAAATTGAAGTTTAAGGCAACACCCTCTTGAATTTCAAAACACCTGCAAGCGCGTGTCATAATATAAAGAAAAAGTCACTGTGCAAACCAAACCTTTCCCTCCCCAAATTAAATTAATCTTTAAACCAACTATGTCCTGAACTGATAGCCAGCAAGCCCTTGTGCATGTTTACACTGTAAATATTTACATTAGGATGTACCAAAATACAGAGCTAACTAGTAGAATAGTTGAAGTCCAGGCAACCAGTTTTATTCTGTAGTACCTACCAAAGATAAGTGTCTACAAAAATATTTTTATTTGTTCACACAAATCAGTCATTACTGAAGAGCATTTTAGTCTTCTCTCCCTGCAAGTAATGATAAAAACATTCAGAAAAATACAAAACTTCCCGAAGAGCAGCATATAAATGATTCTGAAGCTTAATTATTTCTCGGCTGACAAAAGTATTAAGAGATAAATACTTGTAAAATCTTCCAAACCTGGAAAATCCATTTCACTATTAACAAATGCATGCAAAAAAGTTTCTCATCAACGCCAGAGCCTCTGAGACGTAAGTGTAGGGTGCTCTTTCTGCAGCTTCCTGGCGCAGAATGGCACTGGGTCTTCGGAAAGGCAGGTCTATGAAGTCCCTTGTTTCCTTTTGAAAACAGCCCGTGCAATCAGCAGCACAGAGGCAGAATGAGGTCATGCTTCCTGTAAAGTAGCCTCACACCAGAAGCATTCATTTTGAAGAGCAAACTGAAGATTAAGATTAGCTGGGGGAACACACTTGCAGACCGTTGTGAAACACAGGCAGATGGATGATAAATAACATTTCTTTCCAGTTATGACATGGAGAAGAAAGACAAAACCTTTTCTCATACAGCAAAGTGGCACAGATTTTAATTTCAGCTTTACTTTTCTATCGTACTCAGAAAACTTCAGTGGTATAACCAAGTCAGACCAGTGAAAGAGCCAGTGAGCTCACTTGTGAGCCTGACGGGCTTTGTTTGATGTAGGAAAGTGAGACAACTGCCACAAAATCCATGCACAGTAACAAGATACGTTGCAAAAGTGTTATTGTACAGAAGAAGCATTTAGTAAGAGTTCACAGTTGTTTAAGTTCCATGGTCAAAAACATTATTGCAAATATAGATCATGCAATGTTAAGATAAATTCCTTTGAAAAAGGGAATTTTCTAAGATGGCCTGGCACTCAAAATGATTGGCTGCAGAACTGTTACATACAGAAGTAATTTAAACCAGACTGCTCTACACCTATGAACTATACAGCTGTAGGGAGAAAAACTTCATCTGCAGAAAAACAGACAAAGATGCTGGTATGCATCTCTCCTGATGTGTGCATGCATCACTGACAAAAAGAAACCATAAGTCTAGTAAAGAATGACTGATGTGCTTTAATGACCGCTTTCTCTTTGGAGAAGGAAAAATATTTCCACTGATAGCAAAGTAATGGAGAATTCTCAGTAGCATTCATATCTGAAAGCCACTATCCCACAGGCTTTTGATGCACGAACTTCGTGCACTGGTGAATATTTTACAGGTAGGTGCTAGCCTATGGTTTATGGTTTATGGTTATATGGCATATAACTTTATATATAGCTTATTTATTGCCCTCCCTGTTGTTCCTCAAAATACCTACCCCACCCCAGCTGCATCTCAGCCTTGTAAGTATAAATTATAAGGAAATGAATATGCCAACAGTCTGCAGTGCAGTAGTTTCAGTGCAGTAGTTTCAGGTCAGTTGCATACATTGCAAGTTTAACCCACAAAAGGAAGGAAACGAGAAATTACAACACTAAGTACCACATACATTTCTACTCTTCTCCTACCCTTACTGTACCTTTGACAACACTACAAATACAGTATGAAACATACTGCCAGCAGAAAACACATCACGCTGGGTCTGACAGCCCGTGGGAGGCCTCCACCTGCAGGGCTCAGGCCCTCAGTCTACTCAGTAGCTGCCCCTGGGTCCCAGTTTCCCCAGTTGCTGTTGCTGTACTCACACCCCACACACCTGCACGCAGAGTCGAGTCCCTTTTTGAGGAAAGAGTTTATTAGGGGGACAGAACAGACCGTGCTGATCAGACGCAGGGCATGGTCAGACCAGCATACTGACCAGCAGAGAGTTTACTATCAGACAGCCCTTCTAATATCTTTACCATTGCATTTTCCTATGTCCCTTCTTCTGAGTCCTCACTTCATGTTCTCACCCGCCCTCCTCTCAGAAAGGGTATTTTAGCAGTGAAGTGCCCAGTAGAGTGAATTAAGTAAATGTGGTGGAGGGTGTAGGGCAATTATTGATTTAATGTGAAGTTCACAACGTTCAGATTTTCCAGCTTCAGTGACCCTCATATCAAACCATTTGTCCCAAATCACAGCTCTTCGATAATGCCCTTTATAGAGCATTCAACAAGCAAAAAAGATTCTGAGATATCTAAGAACTAATTGAAACATTCAGAAAACTAGGAGAGGATTGGGTGGAAAAGAAAATCACAGAGCAGCTACATGGGGTCCAACTGAAGATCAATCTTGCTTACTATCCTGTCACCCATGGGCACCAAAAGCAGACACGCAGTGTAAGGAGCAGGATGAGAATTTACACCTTTCCCTGAAACTCTTCCTGTCTGTATGCTTGCTGCAGAGAAAACTGAGACTCATTTTAATTCACCTTTGTAAATCATCACCTTTTAAGCTAAGTGTATTGCTTTATGCAGTAGAACCAATTAGCAACGTCTGAACTGTCCTGGTAATTGAAAAACCTAATTCTCACAAATCCAGCTATCTTATTTCAGTTTTAAGAGAAGGCTGTTCCTTCATAAAACTAGAGTTTCACTGCAGTTTACAGAAATGTCACATTATATATGACTTTAGTAATTTGCTTGAAAAGAGGAACAAATTCATTTTTAGTTTTATCAGATGGAAATCCCACACTACCTAACTAAAAACTTTGCTTTCAGGCTTGATTTTTTTTTTCTTCTTTTTTTTCCAGCTTAGTTCTTTTAGCTTAGTCACTTCTGCTATACATGCAAAAAAAGAGCATTCCTATTTTCATGGTGGAGTACAACGCATACATTTGCTCTGAGCTTGCTGATACATCCACACTGCTTGGATCTCAACATGTGCTTACCTGCCAGTTACTTTTGTATTATCCTACACAAAGAGTCCAGGTAGAAAAAAAAAAAAAAAAAGGGATTACAAAGGATTCAAATCTATCAAACCTTTAATGCACAATAATACTTCTCTGTGCAAAGCCATGACTAGTCCGTGCTGCATCTCCTTGCTCTTTGATTTTATGGTATCACAAGTAAGTTTAGTTGATATGTAACTTGATGCAGATGCAGAAATACTATTGAGAGGAACTTATTACAATATCACTTCAATATACAAGAGCAGTGGAAAAGCATACATGGGGAGAAGAGAAGCTCTTCCGTAAGCATCTGCAACTCCCCTTGCAACCAAAAATACTGATTCTTTAACAACTATTTTAACAGAGAAAGGCTAATACTCAAATCCATCAGTCAAAGCAGAGTTTAGTCGACATCCCTAAAAGAAGTTACAGTTCCTCATTAGACTTCTTTGTAAACTTCCTTACAAGAAGGGTACCATCTACCAAGAGCAGTGACCATTGCTGAACAGGCAGGTAATGAACAAACAAATCTTTGCTAACATTTGGCTGATTTAATTTTATTGAGGATTATGAAAGTACATAAAGTAGGAAGAAACCTAGAGAGGTGGTTAAGGCTCGATTGCCTTCATTCCTTGTTTTCCACATCTCCTTGGGTAATGGTGGACAGACCAAATGTTACCTAGATAAGCACATCTTTGGAGTACCACCTAGGTGCTCCATCTAGACAGATACAATCTAAACCTTTGGTAGGGAGTTTCCTTGCTGCTTGATGAGTCCCACAGTGAAAATGAATGTTTCTCTGGAGGTGGTGATGTATTGCTGATCTGTGTACCTGAGCTCCTGGCTGTTTTTTGTGACAGTCTTGTCACAAAAATGTGATCGGAACAGAATAATAGGGGAAGGTCACTGCTGTGCAGTGAAGTCTTCTGGACATCATATAATTCAAAAGGATTTAGTAATCTCAGTGTATACTGAAAATATGTAGTTGAGAAGGTATCAGTACCACTGGTTCTTAAGGCATGGACACTGACAAATTACTCACATTACTGATGTCATGGTTCTTTCAATAACAAATTGTACTGGTGAATGCTCAAATGAAGACAGATAGCAACTGGCAGTGTTACTCTAATAATGTTCTTTAAAATGCCTGTCTTACATGGTGGCTTACACAGCACCCTTACCAGTTGTCTATTTATATGTAAATAACCACTGCAGAATGATGGTGACGGAGTCCCTTTTTGCCTGTATTTAAGCAAAATCTAAATTTGTGAAGCTTGTACAGAGAACATACAGGACTTTCTGGAACTGTCTGCAATCTTTCCAGCTGTGCCGTACTTACTTGTCACATTTCCAGCTGAATTCAAAGTGCTGTCCTGGACTGCTAGGGAGAGGAAAAGGTACATGCAGGCTTGGTATGCCATGGAGGATTATAGTACACTAAAGGTGAAGTGGGTTTGCAGGTTGGAAGCTTTCCAGCACTGCATAAAATCAAGAATTTGAATGTGACCTAGTAGGCAACTGGGCAACTGAGGACAGAGACCAGAACTTCCAGGAACATGTCCATGGGATGCCAGAATAGCCCTAATGGCCAAGTATCAAGAAAATTCTCCCATAAACAAATGTTTTGCAAGAATTTACAGGCAGCGTTGGACACTCTGGGCTAGTCGTTGGGTTGGCAACCATCCTTCAGCCCCTACAGACACCCCAGGACTACAAAGGAGAGAGGAAAATATCACATCAGTGTTACAAAGGGACCAGTACTGCATGCTGGCAGATGTGGCATATTTGTTTTCATTCTCAATGCTAGCCTCCACCTGGTTGGACAGATGTGAGTTTTGGAGTTATACCTTCCTTTGCTCCAACCTGCAAATTCTCTCTACACGTTTGTATTGGCAACCTGACTGCAAAATTTTCATTGCTAGATGGCATGTTTTGCTGTGATTTAGCCGTCTCTCCTTTTCTCTTACAGCACTCCCCAATGTCTTCATGACTGAGATAAAAATCCAGCTGCTGAGGCCTCAGTGACTCCAGTACAGTCATTGTCCTGGCAGGACATTCCTTCTGTCCCTTTCCCTCACCCACCATGAGGTCAACTCTCAGAAATGGCAGACCATGACAAATTTACCACTGGGATATGCTTGTGAGTCAAGTGCTCCGCTCATCCACCACAAATTATACGCTGAATTTCAATCTCACAGTGAAATAACCTAGGAAATCAATGTACAATCAGAGCAGGTATTAGCACAGTTTCCATTAAGTACAGTTCTTACCAAAGCTTTCACAAAGTTCAATACAATATTTATTGATGTGTTCCAATCTATAGGCCCCGCCAAAACCATAACAGAGCCCCAAACATATGGCTGCAATATGTAAGGCAGAAGTAAGCAACACATTGCACAGCACTGCTTCCCAGGCACAAACACAATTAAATCTCGAGAGGTCTAACATTCATTGCAAAACAATATTCAGAGCACAGCGAATGTCGAGTGTGCCCACAAGAAAC